TGGCTCTTAACTAAGGAACGATTCTTAAAATTTTAGTTAATTAATGATTTAATTTTATTAACAATTATTGCTAAGAATACACTAAGAAACTTGCGATAATCATGCTCTTACTACAAAACCTAATAACATGGGTTTAGATGGGCTATCATCTTGGGCTTTTATGTGCTCTAATAGTATTGTCGTTTGTATGACTCATCTTCTTCATCGGATCTAAGGCGCCACTCAAAAGGGTTTATGAAACCTTAAAGGTTAGGGTTTTAACAACAGAAAAAAAAAACTCAAAGGAGATGGATTTCGAGAAGAGAAAAGCTGCAACACTAGCTTCAATTCGTTCGTCAGTGACTGACAAATCTCCCAAAGGTTTTCTCGACGAACCCATCATCCCTCTTCTCGAAACCATCAATCACCACCCATCTTACTTCACTACCAGTTCCTGCTCAGGTCGAATCTCAATCCTTTCTCAACCCAAACCAAAATCGAATGATTCAACGAAGAAGAAAGCTCGTGGCGGTTCATGGCTCTACATCACACACGACCCAGCTGATTCGGATTTGGTAATTTCTCTGCTTTTTCCTTCGAAGTCAAATCAGATTGACCCAATTGACCAGCCTAGCGAATTAGTCTTCCGATTCGAGCCGTTGATCATTGCTGTCGAATGTAAGGATTTGGGTTCGGCTCAGTTTCTTGTGGCGTTAGCTATATCAGCTGGGTTTAGAGAATCGGGTATCACATCTTGTGGGGATGGCAAAAGGGTAATTATTGCTATACGATGTTCGATTCGAATGGAGGTGCCTCTTGGTGATACAGAGAAGCTGATGGTTTCGCCGGAGTATGTGAAGTTCCTTGTTGATATTGGAAATGAGAAGATGGATGCTAATAGGAAGCGAACCGATGGGTTTAGTGTAGCTTTGACTAGTAATGGTTTCAAGAATCCAGATGCAAATGATGTTGATGAAGATGATAATTACGAGAATCTAGCTGGAGATCATGATTCAAGTATCAACAACGGAAACTTGCATCCTGGTAATTTTTGTATATCCCTGTGTGATTGTTGTATTCGTAGATAGCTTGAGTAATGCAATGAGGTTGGACATGTTACAGTCTATGATGTAGTGTTTAACTATAGTCTTGTTTAGTTTATACTAGTGGTAGTCATATGGTCGAGAGTTTGAGTTATGTCTACTTGGTTTGCAGGATAACATTCAAATTTTAAACGTGATAGCCAGTTTCCGTATGTAAATCATTGGCAGGGCTTCAGCAAGATCTCATACCGCTCTCGAAATTATCCATAGTCGGGGAACCTGTTGAGAAGCTCCACCTTTGGGGACACTCAGCTTGTACGATAGATAAACCCGACCGAAAAGAGGTTATCGTGTTTGGTGGGTTTGGAGGTTTTGGTAGACATGCTCGAAGAAATGAGTCTTTGCTGCTCGATCCTTCATGTGGCAACTTAAAGTTGATTGCTGTCAATGAATCTCCATCAGCACGACTTGGCCACACAGCTTCAATGGTTGGCGATTTCATGTTTGTGATTGGAGGAAGGGCTGATCCCTTGAACATTTTGAATGATGTGTGGAGGCTCGATATATCCAAGGGTGAATGGAGCTCACAGAGGTGTATTGGAAGTGAATTTCCTCCAAGGTAAATGTCATTTTCTGTGTCCATTTCTTCAAAAAACCTTTGACCTATCTCCAATGACAAACTTATATGAACTTCAAATTCTCGGAGATGCCCTCAACTGTATTTTAGAAACTAATAATCCTGTTTATTGCTCTTGGTTTGATGCCTATCTTGCTTCATGTCTATGATTTATTATATATGTTTTTTGTTGCTTGTTGCATTGACGCCCCTTCAGATAATTGTTATCTCGAATTTTCTTCTAAATGCAAATTCTTTGAATTTGAGCAGGCATCGGCATGCAGCAGCCAGTGTTGGCACGAAAGTATACATATTTGGTGGGCTTTACAATGATAAGATAGTTTCCTCTTTGCACATTTTGGATACAAAGGACCTGCAGTGGAAAGAAGTTGAACAACAAGGTCAATGGCCCTGTGCGCGCCACTCTCATGCTATGGTTGCATATGGGTCACAGTTATTCATGTTTGGAGGATACAATGGGGAAAATGTACTCAATGATCTATACAGCTTTGATGTGCAAAGCTGTTCTTGGAAACTTGAAGTGATTTCTGGAAAATGGCCTCCTGCAAGGTTTTCACACTCAATGTTTGTTTATAAGCATAATACTGGCATAATTGGAGGTTGTCCTGTTTCACAAAATTGTCAAGAGTTGACTTTGCTAGATCTGAAGCACCGATTGTGGAGGAGTGTGAGATTGGAATTTATGAACAAAGAGTTGTTTGTTAGAAGTACAGCCAGCGTTCTTGGTGATGATCTTATCGTCATTGGGGGTGGGGCTGCTTGCTATGCTTTTGGGACAAAGTTTAGTGAACCAGTGAAAACCAACTTGGTTCAATCTGTGACTATGAGTGAAAATAATGTTCCTCTCCAACCTGAAGATGTTTCTATAGAATGGAATAAAAACGATGCAGATTTGAAGACTGAAATGTCTCTGTCTCAACCATGGGTGATACAGTTAGAAAGAAAATATGCAAAGTTTGGCAAGGATCTACTTAAAAGTTTTGGATGGTTAGACCTTGAGAGGAAGGTTTACTCAAACGAAAAAGGTCTTTGTATATGCTTTCCTGTGACTGAAAAGTTTTCTGAACTTTTCCATGAGAAGCAGCTTTTGGGCAAGGACTTAGAAGGGTCAGAGGATGATAGCCTAGAAAAGGGTCTATCCTTAAAAGACATATCCAGCTCAGCGGCTTTGAATCTTCTGAAGGAACATGGTGCTAAAAAACTCATTAATGTCGCTTTTGAAGCCAAAAAAGTTGCGAAATCCCCCTTACAGAGAATGAGAGAATATATCACATCTATACTTAAACAGAAAGGCCTACCGGAAGAGCTTTTGGACGAGCTCCCACAGAAGTAAGTGTTCCAGAATGTTGATTTTATAATACTCGGGGACTAAAATGGTGAGAATCTGATTGCGTGCATGTTTGTTTTTACTTCCGTCTGATAAGTAATTGTGATTTATCTACTGGTAGATGGGAACGGCTTGGGGATATTGTTGTGCTTCCTGCAACATCCTTTAAAGATCCAACTTGGAACTCTATCAGTGATGAAGTTTGGTGTGCGGTTTCTAAATCACTTAGTGCCAACCGCCTTGCACGCCAAGTATGTTGCTTTTAGATCCTTGCACCAATATTTTTAAAGTGCAAACCTGTATATCTTACCTATTCATCTTAAAGCGCCTCAAAATCTACAATACTGGTTTATTATAAGTTGTGAGAGTGCTGAGAACTTTACAAACTATTCTCTTCCCCAATTGCATCTGCTTACCAGTAAGACTTATATCATCGATTTTGTGTCTTTTTCAGGGACGAGTTGAACCTAATGGTACAAGGGATAGTACATTGGAGATTCTTGTGGGAGATAATGGATGGGTTGATCACTGTGAAAATGGGATCTTGTACTCTTTCGATGCTACAAAGTGTATGTTCTCATTGGGTAATCTCTCAGAAAAGCTTCGTATGGGTAACATGGCCTGTGAAAATGAAGTTGTGGTGGATCTGTTCGCTGGAATTGGATATTTTGTTCTCCCATTTCTTGTGAGGTATGCCATTATTGAATGAATTAGAGAAGAGAAAGTGGTTTTATACAATCAAAAGTCAATACTTTATTAATGCATTCTCAATTTACATTTGCAGGGCAAAAGCAAGGCTAGTATATGCTTGTGAGTGGAATCCCCATGCTATTGAAGCTCTTCGACGTAATGTTGAAGCAAATTCTGTTTCTGACCGGTGTATCATTCTTGAAGGGGATAACCGGATCACCGCACCGAAAGTACGGTTGATGATATTCCAAACTGCTCACCATCTATTTAATTCTATGCAAATGTTTCAAGGTATACCTGTTGGATCGAGTAAATCGCTGAAGTAATAGATTTCGTGTTTCAAATCTTTTGATTCTCAGGGAGTGGCTGACAGAGTCAATCTTGGTCTTATCCCGAGTAGCGAAGGAAGCTGGGTCACAGCTATTCAGGCATTAAGGTGATTGTACTTTCCTGAAATCTTGTTCTTTACTACAAGAACCAGCAGCATAAAGTCTGGAACAAGTTAAAGTTCAGTCTCTCCAAAAGATATAATCTTCAAGATGATTCAAACTCAGGGATGTAAAAATCTTATGCCACACTGCTCTTGGAACCTCTGAATATGATCCAAGAATGCAATCATGAGAGAGAACAACCACTCGATTGAATGTGAATTCACTGATGTCTCTGTTATTGTTATTGGAACTTGCAGGCCTGAGGGAGGAATACTCCATGTGCATGGAAACGTCAAGGACTCAGATGAGAGCAGTTGGGGCGAGCATGTCACCAAAACATTAAGTGATATCGCCAGAGCCGAAGGTAATAAGTTTATGAACAAAATCGAAAGCTTTTTGAACCAAAAAAAAAAAGAGCATTGGTTTTTGAAATTCGGTTTTGTTACTCGTAAACCAGCGTAACTAGGATTTACTGGGTGATGAGATTTCTAATCTTGATTTGGGTAATACTAGAAAATAACTTGGGACTTATATTATTTTTGGGTTTTCATGGTTTAGGTCGTAGCTGGGAAGTGACAGTGGAACATATAGAGAAGGTGAAATGGTACGCTCCTCGGATTCGCCATCTTGTCGCCGATGTGAGATGCAGATGTTGATGACAACGACAACAACAACAGCGAGAGTGCAGCTCAGAGAGTTCCCATTGTATTGTTGAACTTGTATGATCTCAATTTCGATAAATGGTTTTTCACCATTTGAGACATTGATTACTCTGTAGTCTGTACCATTCCCAAGTAATCAGTTCCCCAGTAACAATCCTACAATTCAATCCATATGAATTCCCTCAGTACTTAAATAGGTGTTTTTTACTTACATTCTTGCAAAACTTCTAATGGGGCTATAATGGATATTCATATAACAATACTTATTCATAACACTTAAATAGTTAAACCCTAAGTGACTTTTTTAAAAAACAGTTGACCACCACCTCTGTCTCCGTTATTAGGTCTTTGTGAGAATCTTCATTGAGTTTTACGTAGCTCTATAAGATATAACAAATGGTTCTTCACTCCAAGGCTCCTGCAAAGAAGCAGCAAAATAAACGAATTGCTTTCAAGGTAGCACCCTTTTAAAATTGCTCTCTCTTTTCTTATGAATCTTCTTCAAGTGTTTGACAATTTTTTGGTGTTAATTTTGCAGAAAATTAAGAGAAAACTCGGGAGAAAATTGCCTAAGATTCAAAAATCAAAAGGTATATTGCTTTCTCATGCAATTCAAACTTCTTTTTTTTTTTTTTTTGCTTCTGTGAGTATAGGTGGTTGAAACTTTCTTTTGTTTATATTGCAGAAATGATACTTCCTGAGCAAAGTGTGGCAGCTGAAAAAAGGAAAGGCTTGACCCTCAATGATCTTCTGCAACAAACTTCACATTGCAATGCCAAACTTCGCAAAGGTACTTTTTTTTCTCTCTTGGTCATGCTTTTTTGGTTGAGGAAGATATGATGCTTGCTATGTGGACTTTTGCAAGAATCATCCAGCAGAGCTGCAGTCACATAAATAATTTATCATTCAGAAACTCAGCAAACGTATTAGTGATGATGATATAAGCTTGTTAGAGATACTCTTTACCAACAACTATTGAGAAAGTCATCTTTCCTCCTTGTAAAGAGGTATTAGTTCTTCTCTTTGGATCAAACTTGCATCCTTACTAGTAAGTTAACTGTTGTATCCAACAGTCGAATCTATATATGTGTGAATGAATCTATTCAGGATAACCTTATGGTGTCACTTTTAATGCCATGCATATCTTGCGCTATGGCTCATCGATTGATGTTCTTGGATTGTGATACAGACTGTTACTTTTCCCAACTTTTGCCTCTAGTGTTTCTTGCAAGATGTTCCATGAAATTTCCATGTGCTACTTGTTGCAGCTTCTCGAAATCTACAAGGATAACAAACCGACAAATTAATTTGATATTTAACGCGAGAACGAAAGCGAGATTTCCATAATTCCCATTTGGGACTAAGTGATAAAATATTGGAAATATAGAGAATATCACACACAAACTTAATTAATCTTCCTAAATTTCAAAGTTGTACCCAGCCAAGTTACACTTGTAAGTTGTTATAATTTTTCTTTTAATTGGCATGCTTTCATTTGCGGGCATTTCTATTGATGTTCGAATTTTAATTTCTATACTACAAAGTTCTGTCCTGAATTCTGATTATTCCATTTCTACCCAGAGCAACCACATACTAAAATTTAATTCTTTTTTTTTTTGTCTCAAAAGTTTTATTATATTCTACAGCAAATATTACATGAGCCGGCAGGACTAAAGCCTCCGGAAGTAAAGCCGAGAAAACGAGAATATCCCGGAAAAGCATTCGTTGATACCAGAATCTAAACCAACGTACGAAAGCAAAAGCCAAACATTTAAGCCCGAAAGTAAGTAACCACACTTCACCCACAAAATTTTCTAATTTCTGGAAAGCCTAAACCAAACTGCAAGTCGGAAAAACAATTAACGACAAGCAAATCCTCCTATAGCGAATAAAAACTACCTCACAACCTATGCGCTCTTGGGCTTCTAATCCAGCAAGATGGATTCAAGACAGAAATGTCTAGATCCTCACACTTCTCCCGGAAACGACGATGTCGAAAGAACGACGACTTTTAAACGTCTCGGTAGAAACCTTTAAATTGAGCAGATCTCGATCAGATCTTTTGAGTAGAGACAAGGAGCGATCATAAATCCAACCGGGTCACACCAAACTCACACAAGCACGACAAGAGATCGAACCGGAGAGACACTAAGGCAAAATCCAGCAACAATGTTGAAAGCGTCTGTTCTCTTGGGGTATTATTCCTTCTCCGAATTGCAGTTTTTGTGCTGCAGACATTGAATCTAGAGACCATCTGTTCCTAATCTGCGCCTTCTCTCAAGCTATTTGGCGACTGGTTTTCTTAAAACTTGACCCTAACAGGTCGTTGCTCCTTTCGTGGTCTGAACTTCTTTCTTGGGTAAGATCCGGTTCGCAAGCTGCACCGATTCTTCTAAGGAAAATCATTGTCCAAGCAACCATTTACCACATCTGGAAGCAACGCAATAATCTCGTCCACAATCAACAAGCAATCTCACCTCCAGCTATCTTCTTGCTTCTTGACAAGGACATTCGCAACATCATCTCTGCAAGACGCCATAGGAAGCCTTTTTACAATCTGATGCAGTGTTGGTTATCTTGATCTCACGTCTGTGATTTCCCCAAATTATCTCCTTGTTTTTATTCTTTTTGCCAAGGTTTCAATATTCTCAGGCTCTACTCTTTGTAACAGTCAAACGTTTTCATATTTTATGATATTAACATGTTTAGCAAAAAAAAAAAAAAAAAAAAAAAAAAATCCAGCAACAAAGAAAAATACAGAGAAGCACGGCTACAACAAAGCCTAAACGAAAAAGACCCCACTAAAGATATATTAAAAACTTGTTGCCTCACTATTATTGGGCTTCAAAAAGAGAAACAGCCCAAAATTAAATTAAGCCCAAATGAAAAGTGCTTTAGCATTATGGATAACTGACATGACGCCATCATCAGAAAACGACGAAATCCCACATTATTAGACTAAATACTAATCACTCCAGAGACAAGCCACGTGTCAAACCTTTCTTCCATATGAAGGAAAGAGTCAACCAATCCAAAGCAGCATGAAGCCTCACGATGACGTAAGCAACCGAAAAGATTTTCCGGTGAGACTTAACATCACCATGTGTCCATGTTCATCAAGTGAAACTACTTAAAGATTTGAACGACAAGGCTTATGAAGCTCAGACTCTTAAACTTCCACTCTTTCTTCGTGATGAAGAAACTAGAAAGCTGCCCGTACGGCGAGGCGGAAGAAACTTGACAAGTTTATTAGAAACAACGCCAAAGAACGGTGACGGCGAAGCGCCAAAGAACGGCGACGGCAAAGCGCCAAAGAACGGCGACGGCGAAGCGCCAAAGAACGGCGACGGCAAAGCGCCAAAGAACGGCGATGGCAAAACCGGAAATCATCGGTAACTATAGGTAGAACTCGCCGGATAAACCGAACGGTATTGAAACGACGAAGCCGGACCATGTCCGGACACAAGCCAGCAAACATACCGAACGGGAATGAAACAACGAATTTTCTCTCTCTCTCAAAGTTTTAGAGAGAGAAGAGAGAGAGAATATCCATTTCAGGTTTTGTGTTATCCTTGACGTACTAAAATTTAATTCATGTAAAACAAAACAAAAAAATACTAAAATTTGCAGAGACGTATAATTTTATAATTATTCTATATGGATATGAATTTTATAAAACTTCATTCATCAAATCAGTTATATATATACTAGATATGGTCAAAATTATTATTCTTAACTTTTAATTTTATTTTTGTAAGCATAAATAAAATTATATAAATATATATATTTTAGATAATGCAGCATTTTAATTATTTTTTAAGTATAGATTTATAATGTATATAGCACAGTATAAAACACTATTTGTAGTTATGTTATACTAATTATTAAATCATCTAATATAAATATTGACCTATTAATAAAATTATATAATTTTTTTCTTATTATTAATTATGAAGTCATAAATATTTATAGGTTGTATTATTGAATTTTAATAAGTTATTTACATCCATCGGAAGAGTGTATTACACCTTATAATTTAAATGTGGGCAAGATGGAAAAAACTGTGACAATAAGAAAAAATGAAATTATGTAGTTACGTGGCATTGTCAATTTTTGGCTCATATTATCCATTTATTCGTTTTATTTTTATTATTTCCGCTCGTCGGCGAGAAATTCTCAAATCTCTCTATTTCTTTTATTATATTTTTCTTATTTTTGCTTGAATTCTTTTTTCTTTCTCCATCTCTCCCTATTTTTTCCCTATCTCCATTTCTCCCCTTCTTCAGACATCACCACCGAATCTCACTACTCTGACCCACCACCACAAATGAATCTCACTACTATCACAATCACCACCACCATCAATACCGAATCTCGCCACTGTTATCGCTTCTTCTCCCCTTTCCCCAACTTCTCTTACTACTCCAATTTCTTTATCTTCTCTGACATCAGGCCAAACCTCTCCGACAACAACTCTAGTCTATGCCCATCGCCGTTCATAATTCTTAATTTGCCTCTATTGCCATATATTCTTTGGGTCTGAATATCGCATGCTATTTTTAGAAAACCATCGCGATTCACAGTGTTTGTTTTTATAATTAACATGATATATTTACAACAAATGATAAATGCATGTAATTTTTACATGATCATATTATTTTTTTAAATCACCCAGTCACCACCTCCGTAATCATCAATCACCACCATCATCACCATCATAACAATCACATGCTACTCCTATTTCTTTCAGTATGACATGCTATTTTATTAAATGACATTGTTGGATGCCTCTATTTCACCTTCAGAATTCTAATATTTATTTATTTTTCCCAGATTTTTCATGTTATTAGTATTTATTTCATGTTTTTTTCTCCAAATTAGAATGCGCATTTGTATGTTTATCTTTTATTTCATAGCCATTTTGAATTTTCACATATCTGGAAACTAACGTTTCTAGAACTTTTTTTTAACTCATGGCTATTTCCTTAATTATTTTTGAGTCAAATGTTAGTTACTTATATTATCCTAAACATACTTTATAACCCAAAAAAAAAAAGTTTTACCAGTAGAATGAAGTTAAAACAACGGTGGTGTATGAAGAAATTAGTTTGAATGGTGAAAAAATATGAGATAACTTATTGTTTATAGAAAGGTGATAATTTACAATCTATTTTCTTATAGGAATAATACCTTATTGTAAAATTTACTTAATCCTTTTTTATTTTTTTATTTTTTTTTGTATAATTAGTAACTTATAAATAAAATGTTTAGCATAATTTTATAATTTCTATTTTTGTGGTAAATATACATATAATTTCTTTATATATACATATAGTTTTCTTACTATGATCTAACTGTTTAAATTTATAATTTCGTTATAATTATCTGTTAACAATTTTGAAGTTGTTAAAAACAAAAATTTTGGTTGCTAGATGGCAAAATATCTTATGGAAATATACTTACAATTTCCTTATAATCAGCTTTTTACATTTTAAAACTCTTTACATTTATAATTTTCTTATAATTATTTTTTAACCTTTTTTTAGTAAAAAGGAAAATTTATTTGACATATGGCAAAATCTGAGATCAAAATATTTGACACGTGTCACGATCTCGTGAGTTATTAACTTTGAAAACCATACTTTATATAATAAGATAGTAAACATTATGAAAACAAAATTTAAAATTTGTAGTTCTTATGTTAAGCTTTGATTTTGTCGTTTACAAGTTGAAGAGTTCATTAGACTTTCAAGAAAATTATAAACCGGAATGTCAGAACCCAATAACCGGGTTCACCTTCCTACTGAATTTTACAACGATTAAACGTTGTCGTACTGAGACATGTAAACGGCAGCGGCTTAGGCCGTTTCGTACGACTCATCTTCGTCACCGGATATATATAATCATAAATCCCCTGGATCTTGTTGGATCGAAAATCAAGAATGGAGAAGAAACCAAAACAGAATTTGGTGCTGCTGACAGAGGAAGCATTGAAGAACATCTGGGCTCGATTTTCATTGAGAAGCATCGCTAGATTCAGATCAGTCTGCAAAGAATGGAAATTGTTAATCGATTCTGACATCTTCCGAGATCACTACTTGTCTCTCAACTCTTCCTCATCCTCAGTGTCGTGGTCAATCATGAACAATAAGAACAAAACAGAAATCGTCGGGCACTATCGATGCAAGAGATGGGGAATTACCAAATCCTTAGGATCTTTCATCACGCGAGACCGCAGTGAGAAAAACTTGTGTCTTGAGCAGCACGGATGGAATTGTATTGGTTTACACGGAAACTATGGAAGGAGCACCAATGTATCATGTCGGAAACCCGCTGTTGCAACAATGGGTTCGAATCCCTTTTCCTCCACATCTCTTCGTTTATGATCTCGTGAGGCTACAGGGGAATCGGTATTTTAACGACAATGGACTTGTCACAAAGATGGAAAAGGGTATTGCCGTGGGGTACACGGTAGTCTGGACTTTGGCCTCTGGTGGAGTATCTAAAGAACTCACCTTTTTGATATATTCCTCTGAAACAGGATTGTGGATAACCAAAAAGGTTAGTTGTCGCCGTAGCTTGATCTGGTCTAGACTAGCGCATTCGGTTCCTTTAAACGGGATTCTTCACTGGCTTGCTACGATTGATAACTCCTCTTTAGATGCAAATTATGTTGTAGCTTATGATTTCTATAATGGAGGAGGTGATGTGTGTCCTATCATACCTTTTCCTGATATCCAACAATTTCAAGAGACTCGGCGTTTCAAGAGAACACTAACAACGTCTGCTGGATTTGTGGTCTATTGCAACATTTACAGTGATAATAATGGAGGAGAACGTGCGATCAGGGTTTGGAGGCTGGTGTCTACGAATGAGAATCTTAATTCATGGCAACTCTCATGGAAAGTCAATACCAAGGGTGACGTTGATTATTTCCCTGTGGTCATGCATCCTATAAATTTTGATGTCATTTACCTGTGGAGTTGGAACAAGAACGCCCTCGTCTTGTTTAATTTGAGGACACAAAAGTATAGTCTTCGCAGAGAGGCAAAGAAGAGCAAGTCTATGGATGGTTGCATCTTGACATTCAGCAACTGCAAGGAGTATATGGACTTGATCTATCCCAGTTTCGTCAATAGTATGCTCCATGGTTCTCACTATCTCTTCTTTTCACAGTACGTGCTCCCACGTTGGCTAAACCCGCTACCTCGGCTTTCTTCTTGATTATGCATGTTTATCATTTGCCTCTTTTTTTTAGTGTTTTTCTTTCTTTATGATACAAGTATGCATTGAGAGAAACCATATTTATTAGGGTTTTTATTGCTCTTTTGTCCACCTAATTGGTCAACTTCTCTCATATTAAATTGTGTTCATGCTTCATCAAAGAGCAAAGATTGTGTGGAATTTGACCATTTAGTTACCAACTGAGTCTTTAGAAGCAAACCACTCTTCCAATGTCCCATTGGGGTCTTGATTACTCTAATCTCAATCTGATCACAACCTCCATTGTTGTTGTAATACTTCCAAAGCTTCACTTTGCTCCACGCATCTCCTCTCTCTCTTTTGGCTCCTCCACATTCCTACCAAAGTGAAGCTTGGTAAAGAGGATTTCGCCATCTTGCCGGCTGCCGCCCATATGAGATGCAGATGATGATGATGATGATGACAATGACTAGAGTGCAAAGAGACTTCCCATTGTATTGTTTTTAACTTGTATGATCACAATTTAAATAGATTCTTGTAAAATGGATCTTTTTGGATGTAATATATATGACCAGTGTTTGCATCCATTACAAACGGAACAAATGGGCCCAAAATTTTTAAAATTATATTCTTTTACATAAACAGGCCTCTATAGTTTAATTTTTTTTAAATAGGGCAAAATATTTAAAAAATAGTCCCAAATTTAACCAATAATTCAAAAAAATCTAAAAAAAAAATTAAGTAAAAAAAAATCCAAATTTTTTTTTTGTCCAAGGATCCAAATATATGTTGGGCCGGGGCTGATCACTATTGCCTTGTAACAACGGAAGATGAGGGCTAGTGACATTAAAACACTTGGTAAATGAAACAATTTCATCACTCAACTTGTTTGTCACCCACACCGCAATGTCCGTTGATACTTCTTGACCACCAAATTGTATATCTTGTAGTAATAAAAAGAGTCTATCTCCATTGAAACCGCATAATCCTCCAGTATCCGGCAAACGAAGACAAACACAAATGTTCTTGAACGTTTCTATGGAGTAATCAAAACTTAGAATAAAATATTCATTCTTTTCACTTTTAGCAATCCAATACATATTACCCTTCACTGACACACCTTTGCACCGAGTATGTACATCCCCATCGAACTTAGCACCAAGAGTTCTCCATGAAATAGACTTTATTCTATAACCCTTCGCGGTTTATATCCATAACTAAGTAAGATCCTATTACAAATAGGCCCTAGATGTTTCTTCTTTTTGTAACAATAGATCTCTAGTTTCTTAAAGTTTTAAAATTTACCCTCTTTTTCTATAAGACAGTCTAAAATACTTTTTTTTAAAAAAATTAGGCTTATGAGATTCGCTTAGTCACTCTAAATGTCAGGGCTAGCCCTATTTAATGTATCTATAATCTATATATATAATGGGAGAGTCTTCTCTCCATATAAGCTATCCACATCATCATCCACCTAAGCATGCATCTAATTAAAAATTAAAAGTCAAAATTTATTTAAAATGTTCATTCAATACATACTTATTTTTACTTATTGTTATTTATGATTAAAAATATTTAAGTTATAATACAAATGAATTAATATTATAAGTAAAAAAAAAAGAAATATAAATTTATACATAATAATATAATTTGAATCTATATATATAATGGGAGAGTCTTCTCTCCATATAAGCTATCCACATCATCATCCACCTAAGCATGCATCTAATTAAAAATTAAAAGTCAAAATTTATTTAAAATGTTCATTCAATACATACTTATTTTTACTTATTGTTATTTATGATTAAAAATATTTAAGTTATAATACAAATGAATTAATATTATAAGTAAAAAAAAAAAGAAATATAAATTTATACATAATAATATAATTTGAATTTTAGCGAGAAAATGTTTAAGATAAATCATATTTAAAAACTTATAAACATTTCAGTTTTAAAATTGATATATTAAAAATCAATATGATGGATATTTCTAAAATTGTATGAAAGTTGAAAGATCATACATTTATTAGCTTTAAAAAAAAATATAGTAATGAATCATGACATATTTAAAAATCAATATGTTGGGTATTTCTAAAAATTGTATGAAAGTTGAAAAGACATACATTTTTTAGATATATAGTGAATTAGTGATTAATCTTATGACATATTAGTGATGAATCTTATGACATATTACTAATATATAGTGAATTAGAGATATATGATATATCTTATGACATATTACTAATTAAAATAATAGTTGATTAGTTTATAAATTATAGTAAACAAAATGTTAAAATATAGCTTGATAGTATCGTGTATAATAATTGAAAACAAAACTAAAATAAAATTATGTATACTTTTAATTTTTAGCTTATCAAAAATACAATATAAAGTTTTATAAATGCAATTGATAGTAATACAAACACTATGCACTTATTAAAACTATAAAATATTATTTTAAAAATATCAAATATAGGTAGAAAGAGCACAATTACAACATTAAATTTAATAAGATAGAAACAAAAAATAAAAATAAAAATAAGAGAATATAAAAATATCGGAATTGAGTGACAAAATTATTCTCAGAAAGCTAAATTTCTAAAGAGAAAGACAATATATTAAAAATAAGATATAATTATATATATATATATATATATCTTTTCTTTTTTGTTTGTAAATACAATAGATATAAATTGATGACAAAAAAAAAAGATATAAATTTGGAAAAGATAAACCAGATTTAAAATAGAGATCACACTTGAGTTTCTAGAATTATAAAAGAAAATGTTATGCATAAGAATTCATGCACTTAAAGAGAAAATATATAATGAACAATCATAGGATACTAAGTCAATACAAAAAAAAAACGTTTAATATATGTAGTATATTATAAGTAGACGTGTAAATATATATAATTATCACTTATAACATTTATATTATATATATAACCGTTTTTACCAATAGAATTACATATAGTTTTCAAACAGTATTGTAATAAAAAATATGTAAAATAATGTAATTTACAAAACTATAACAAAATTGAGTATATATTATTAAACCCACGCATCGCGTGGGTCCATTTCTAGTAAAACCAAATTGCGGTGTAAGAGAGATCTATCCACTCTCAGTTTCAAAATCTTGATTATGGTGCATTGGTGTTTAAGATTGATTGCCCACAATTTTGATTATATTGTTATTTGCAACACCTATTTGCTAAAAAAATCGTATTATATATTTGTATTATTAAGGAACAAAGTACCAAAAGAATGACTTTTTAAAGTGATTATACAAGAAAGTGCATTACTTCAACTTACAAGAAGCCAAAGACAAGACTAGAGAGTTTCAACACATCAAACTAATTAATTAATCTCACTTTGATTTTCTCCGGTTTAGCTCTTCTTCCTAAACCGTTATTATGGGTTACACTTTACACACAAGAACAAGAGCATACTATGATTCACTTGATTGGAAGAAGCTCCCCTTGTGGCTGCAAGTTGCTGCCACTTCTCATCATTGTGCGGAATTCCTCAAAGTTTATTTTTCCATCCTGTAACAGAGTTCATGTTCATCACTTACAAGGATTTAAAAAAACCGGTCTAAATTAATGTTTCATGTTTGAATGTATTGGACCAACTTACATTATCGGTATCTACTTCGGTTATGATTTGTTTGATGCTACCTTCATCTCCCACGCCATGCTCCTTCATCGCCATCTCCAACTCTTCCTTCGTTATGTGCCTATTGTATAGACAAGCATTTCACATTTTAGTTCAAACTTTTTCTCGCAAGAACATTATTCGACTGATAAGCAAAAGTGGAAGAAACTTACCCGTCGTTGTCTTTGTCAAAGTGTTGGAATGCTTTGTACACCTGATCATCTCGATCCAGTTTATATCTATGCATCGTGGCAGAGATAAACTCGTCTATGTCGATTGTTCCATTACCATCCACATCAGCCTGAGAAGTTATCATTATGTGTTACAAAGTTATATTTTCTTTAAAGATTTTGGATTCAACAAGTACTCAACAAATGGCGAGTTAAAAGACAGTGATGATAACTCACGGCTTCCATGAGTTGCTCCACTTCGGTTTTAGAGATGTTAGATCCAAGTCTAGTTAGACCTGTTTTGAGTTCTTCAACAGTTATTGTGCCACTTTTGTCGGTATCAATGTTGGTGAACAGTGTTTTAAGACCTTTGATTTCCTCTTCTGATAGACTTGCTGCAATAACCTGCAAATCAGATACACATCATAACCGATGCTTCGTACACAAAGATAGGAAGAGGTAGCAAGAATCGGGAATGGTTACTCTTTACCTTTAGAGCTACCTTCTTAAGCTTGTTCATATCTCGAAATTGCTTCAATCGGGATAAAACAACGCCATCAATAGGCTTATCCGAAGCTTCTCCATCTTTCATCCAAGGATGTCCTATATACAACAAGGAGATTAGTAAAGCATTACAAAACAAGAACAAGAACAAGACTTCAAGATTCACATAGTGTCATTTGTAAAAGAGAAATGATATATTTGTGTTGGCTCTAGAACAATCAAGAAAAGAGAAATAAAGGAACTTACGAAGAACCTCTGCAGCAGAGATTCGTTCCTTGGGGTTTCTAGTAAGCATCTTCATGACAAGATGTTTTGCCTTCCTATCTATAAGAGGCCATGGTTCGCTGTGGAAGTCGATTTCGGCACTCTTAATCTCATTGAACATTTTTGCCTCAGGTTCTACAATATACATACAATAGATACATATAAATAACAAATCAAACACCAAGAAGAAGAAGAATCCAGTTAGCTTAAAGTTTGAACCTGTCACAAAGGGAGGTTTGCCGCAGAGTAGGATGTACAATATAATCCCTGCACTCCAAATGTCGGCTTCTTTCCCGTAATTTCCCTGTAACACTTCAGGAGCAACGTAGTAAGCACTCCCAACGCAATCCCGGTATACTTCTCCTGTATTTGTTGGTTTCATAAAAAATGCATCAAATCAATCACATGAAACTAAGAAACAAACTATCTGTACAACAGAAGACAAATATAACCCAATTCTTGATACTTAATGTATGATTCACCAAATCCAAATCTCTATGCATTTGAACAAAAGTAACCAGATTTGCTTATGACTAAAGCAAACTAAAGAGACAATCTTATAGATTCAAACATTAACATACCAAATCCAAAACTACCAAACTATTAGGATCAACCTTTAAACTCAGTTTTGGTCCCATCTCTATGCATTGGAACAAAAGTCACCAAATTTTGCTCATGACTAAAGCAAACAGACTCAAGGTTTTCCATACAATCATATAGAATCCAAGTCTCTTATGCATTAGAACAAAAGTAACCAGATTTCTCATGACAGAAGCAAACTAAAGAGACTTGTGCAAGACAATCTTATAGTTTCAGAACAGTTATATACCAAATCCAAAACTACCAAACTACTAAGATGATTCTATCAAAGATCTTATAGAATCCAAAAGCTCACCTTCTTGGATGAAGACAGAACACCCAAAGTCAATAGCTTTGAGCATAGCATTGTCATCGGTACTCGAGAGCAAGAAATTCTCAGGCTTTAGATCACGATGCATCACACCCATGTAATGGCAAATCTGCACAACATTCACAATCGGTCTAATGATTCCAACAGCATCTTTCTCAGAGTAAAACTTGTCAGCATTGGACAAAGCTTCGATCTTTTTGAACAATTCTCCACCACCACAAAACTCCATCACAATATGTACAGAATCTTTGTCCTCGTAAGCTTTCTTGAACTCGACGATGTTTGGTTCTCCAGACAAATGCTTCATAATACGAATCTCTCTCTTCACGGCTTCTTCATCTTCTTGGTTCTTTAGATTCGTCTTGAGAATGGTTTTGCAGGCGTAAGTCTTACCAGTTGACTTCTCAACGCATTTTCGAGTTATACCGAATTGGCCTTGACCCAATTCATCACCGAGGATGTAAATCTTTGTGATGTCAACGAATGGTTTCTCAAGAATGGTTCTTTTTGATTGTTTTAGGTTCTTACTGCTGTAGCAACCCATTTAATCTGAGTTTGTAGAAGATGATTTTTGAGAAGAAGAAGAACCTCTGATTGTCTGTCAAAAGAGTAAGATTTTGGAAATGAGTTTTGAATTTTTTTTTTAGATGAAGAACTCTTCACATTAAAAATAAAATATTGGTCTTTGGATATTCAAATTGGTTGTTTCTTTTTATAATTTGACTTAGTCCTCGAAGACTTTTGCTGTGTTTAGTTTTTACTCAATTATTTATCTATATAATTTTGGTAGTTTTTACAACATTAAATATTGCTCTTAAAAAAATTATTTTTAAAGTGGATAGTGAAAATTACAAGAAAAAGGATTAATGAGCTTTTTCAAGAAAATTACAAGAAAATGGGATTGGTTACAACTTACAAGAAGACATACAAACATACTTTCAGAGAGATAAACTACTCTCATCTCTGTTTTCGCCGGTTTAGCTATGATTTTTTCGGGTTTAAGAAAACCGCTTTTGGTTGAAACAAAAACAGAGCTTTATGATCAATGGACACCAAGAAGTTTCCCTTGTGGCTGCAAGTTGCCATTTCTCATCATCGTACAAAATTCTTCATAGTCTATTTTTCCATCCTGCGCAAAATTCATTACAAGATTCAGAACCGGTTTAATGTTAAACCGGGGAAATAATGAACTTATGGAGAGAGCTATATACATTATTTTTATCGACTTCTGATATTATTTCTTTGGCATTAGCTTCATCTCCCATACCATGCTCTTTCATGGCTATCTCCAATTCATCCTTAGTTATGTACCTATCGTATAAACAAGCCATTCAAAATTAATGTTTTTAACATTTTCAAATCTTTAATTCTCTTGACACATAAATGATTGATTCATCAACTTTACTTACCCGCTGTTGTCCTTATCAAAGTGTTGGAATGCTTTGTGCAAATGTTCATCTCGTTCCAATCGGTGTCTTTGCATCGTTGCTGAGATAAACTCGATGTAGTCTATTGTTCCATTCCCATCAACATCAGCCTGCATTTTTTTCTTTATCATTATGTGTTTCAGATTCTTTGTTTTTTTGAGATCAACAAATGCAGGTAAAGAGAGATGGCTTATGATACACTCACGGCTTCCATGAGTTGCCTAACTTCAGTTTCAGAGAGTTTAGATCCATGTCTATTCAGCCCGGTTTTGAGTTCTTCATAAGTGATTGACCCGTTTTTGTCGGTATCCATATTCTCAAACATGGTTTTAAGACCTTTGATTTCCTCTTCCGATAGACCCTCCGCGATAACCTGCAAACCAAACACACAAATCACTATCCCAAGTTCGAACGATAATTTCATAATCTTGAAGCTACTTTTTTTTTACCTTAAGAGCTAGCTTCTTAAGCTTGTTCATTGCTCGGAATTGCTTCATACGTGATAAGACAACATTATCAATAGGCTGATCTGGAGCTTCACTCTTCATCCAAGGATGTTCTATAACCACAAGGATTGTTAGTTAGAGACAACCATAAACTCAGCACTCACATTATAGACAGAAGAAGATAAAGACTTCAAGATTCACATAATGTCATTCTAAACCCTAAACAATGGACTAAATGATGATTCTACAAGCTTCTTTTGGAACTCACATCTTCTGTCTCCCACCCACCAAACACTAACAATCATGTTTTCAATTTAAATGTTTCAAAAAATCACAAAGGGGCCGGCTTACCAAGAACATCTGCAGCAGAGATTCGTTCCTTGGGGTTTTTGGTGAGCATCTTCCCGATAAGGTGCTTCGCTTTAAAAGTTATCAAAGGCCATGGTTGGCTCTCAAAATCAAGCCTGCCTTCCTTAATCTCAGCATCTACAATACAAGAGTAGACGCAATTACAGAGAAGAACACATCTCAAGGTATTTAGCTTAAGCTTTTAGCCTTTTACCAGTCTGAAATGGCGGTACGCCGCTGAGTAAGATGTATAATATAACACCAGCACTCCAAATGTCGATTTCCTTCCCATAGCTTTCCTCTAATACTTCAGGAGCAATGTAGTATTTACTGCCAACAATTCTCTCTAAAGTTTGCCCTGTAATTGTTGAAAAAATGAATCTATGAAACAAACTTACTAAAAATAGTATACTTGAAAATATGATCAAATCTTGAATTCTAATGAGCTAATGATTGAAGCAACTAAACAAGCTTATAGATTCCAAACTATCAAAGGCCTGAAATGATTCACCTCAAAGATCAAAATCTTTTTGACTTACCTTCTTTGATGTAAACAGAACACCCGAAATCGATAGCTTTAAGCATAGCATTCTCATCTTTACTAGAGAACAAGAAGTTCTCAGGCTTGAGATCACGATGAACAACATCCAAAGAATGACAGATCTTCACAGCATTCACAATCGACCTAAAGATTCCAGCAGCATCTTTCTCAGAGTAATAGCTATGAGACTTGACCAAAGCATCGATCTTGTCGAATAACTCACCACCACCACAAAACTCCATTACAATGTGTATAGAATTCTTATCCTCGTAAGAACCTTTGATCTGTACGATGTTAGGTTCTCCTGAAACATGATCCATGATTTGAATCTCTGTCTTGACAGCTTCTTTCTCTTCTTCACTGCTTAGAGTTCTCTTAAGTATGGATTTGCAAGCGTAACTCTTTCCTGTTGAATTCTCTTTGCACAAGTATGTTGTCCCGAAGTTACCTTTGCCTAGTTCGCCTTCGAAGCTATAAAGCTTCTTGATGTCTTCCAATGGCTTCCCAAGAATCGTCTCTTGCTTTCCATCGATATCAGAAGCTGTTAGGGGTTTACTTCCGCAGCAACCCATGAATCTGTGTTGGGATTTTTGTAGGGTTTTAAGAAGATGAATCGAAGAGAAGCTGAGTTTTGAATTTTTGTGATGAACATCTCTTTGGCTGGAGTCATATAAGTAAATGGTGAATTTGTTGTATTGGTCTTTAAATATTCATAATTTATTTTGGTCAGTTTAATTACTTACTTATTATTAGTCCTCGTGTCCTCGAAAAATTTATTAGACGACTTTTGTGTATTGGATTGAGTTTGGATGAGTTACAAAAATATAATATAGATTTCTTTATATTTATTGTATTGGATTGAGTTTGGAGGAATTATGAAACTAAATATTTATGTATTAAAAAATAGATTATTTTAATTTATTGTATTGGATTGAGTTTAGAGGAGTTAAGAAACTTTAATATAGATATCTTTAATTTATGTATTAACAAAATAGTTTAAAACCTATAGACTACAGTTTTAAAATTATAAACCAAAATTAAAATCCGACAAAAAAAAAACCAAAATTAAAAAAAAAAAAAAAAAAGTATTCTCACAAATGTAAACCCTAACTTCTCTAAGCTAAAATTTTAATCATAAAATCTAAACACAAATGTTAAAAAAAAAATGGTTTAGTTTCTTGATCGTTCTTAAAGATGATGAACTTCGGGGTTAAAATCAAAAACCAAAACTATAAAATGTAGGATTTATGAGCTGGAATTTGAGTTGTATTTATTTAGTTGTATTAATAAAATACTGAATTGGTCTTTAAATATTAAAATTTATTGTATTGGTCATTGGTGTTTTTTTTGTCAACGGTAATATTGGTTCTATAATATTTTAACGATAAACTTAGTCTTACTGTAAATTTATATTATTTTTTATTGACAACCGGCTTACTAGACTACATTAAATTAGAATGCTTCTTTCGTGCATTCCACGTATATTGAACATCCAGCATTCCAGCTAAACAAACAGATAACCAAATAATAAACTCTTTTGTTAAAATATTCCAAACCTTTTTATAGGTTAAAATGATACAAAGCATGCATGTGACGTTTATAGACCAATAATATACGATTAATTATCTAAATGATAAAAATATAGCAAAAGATTTACTCTTTTAAAGTCTTCTTCATAAGGATTAAGAAGGTCCTCAAGAAAATTACAAAAGAAAAATGAAGAAGTGGATTTGTTATTGTTACAAAGAGGTAAGACATGACAGTATCCCAAAGTCTTAAACTCAGTTTCCAGACTAACTAAACAGAAGGATAAATAAATCTGTCCAAACACAGAGAAGAAAGGCGAACATTTTGAGACAGTATATCAACGGAATCACCTCGGTTTTCCCCCAGTTTAACTCTTCTCTCCGGGTTTAAGAAATCGCTTTCGGTTGATAAACATATTTGGGATCTATGCCTTCTTGATCAATGGAATGGAAGCAATTTCCCCTGTGGCTGCGTGGTGCCGCTTCTCATCATCGCGCAAAATTCCTCAAAGTTTATTCTTCCATCCTGTAATAGAGTTTATTACAAGGTTTCAAGAACCGGTTTAATGTTTGAGATGTTGGCTTACATGTTAGAGAGTGTAACTTACATTGTCGGTATCAACTTCGGATATAACTTCTTTGATGCTAGCTTCATCTCCCATTCCATATTCTTTCATGGCACTTTCCAACTCATCCCTAGTTATGTGCCTGTTGTATTACCAAAAGCATTAACATTGATGCCTCATAATAGTTGTACACATTTGAATTTGATTATTTGAATCTTGATTCTCTTGACACAAGATATGATCAATGGAGAGTGATTCGTAAACTGCAAATGCAAGAAACTTACCCGCTGTTGTCTTTATCAAAGTGTTGGAATGCTTTGTATACATGCTCATCTCGATCTAATTTGTATCTATGCATTGTCGCAGAGATAAACTCGTAGTAGTCGATTGTTCCATTACCATCCACATCAGCCTGAGAAGTTATTATCATGTGTTTCAAGTTTTCACCTTTTTAAGATCTCGATTGTGAAAAAGTTGTAATCAAGATGCTGAAGATAGGTTATAAAAAAAAATGGAAAAAAGATGCTGAAGATAACTCACAGCTTCCATGAGTTGCTTAACTTCAGTTTCAGAGAGTCTAGACCCAAGTCTAGTTAGCCCAGTTTTTAGTTCTTCATAAGTGATTGTCCCGCTTTTGTCGGTATCTATATTCGCAAACATGGTTTTAAGGCCTTTGATTTCCTCTTCCGATAGACTCTCTGCTATAACCTGCGCACCAAACACACAAATCATAACCCGAAGTTCAGGAGTCGGTAGATATGAGACGTTTCAATTGATTAGAGAACACAAAGATATGCAGAGGGGATATGCACAATTAGTAATAAAGAAATATAATTTTTTGAGCTACTTCTTTACCTTTAAAGCTAGCTTCTTAAGCTTGTTCATTGCACGGAATTGCTTCATACGAGATAACACAGCGCTATCAATCGGCTTGTCCGGTGCTTCTCCCCCTTTGATCCAAGGATGTTCTATAAACCATAAGGATTGCTACATATTAGTAAAGAATTACTAGTTAGACTAAAATCAAAGACAAGAACAAGATTAGACTTCAAGAACACCAGTGTCTTTTTAAGACCTATACAATGGACTGACTATCTCATTCTGGTGTTGTGCCCATAGAATGTATATTTAAGCCTTCTAAGATGGAATCTTTAATTAGATTTCATTAGATCACATAGAAATTGGAAAAAAAATACTGGTATTTACATTATCTTACCAAGAACCTGTGCAGCCGTGATTCGCCTCTTCGGGTCTTTGGTTAGCATCTTCCTAACAAGATCTTTTGCGCTCTCAGATATAGAAGGCCATGGTTGGGTTTCAAAATCAATTTCACCTTTTATAACCTCATCGAATATGCCTTTCTCATTTTCTACAACATAACATATAATTATAGATCACACCTCAAGAAGAAAACAAATCAATGAATTTGGGTAGCTTAAAGGATTTTACCGGCCCAAAAAGGAGGTACACCGCTGAGTAGAATGTATAAAATGACACCTGCACTCCAAATGTCGATTTCTTTCCCATAACTTCGCCTTAATACTTCAGGAGCAACATAGTAAGCACTCCCAACTATATCCCGGTAAACTTTTCCTGTTCATTTCACAAACATAGCATCAAGCATATTAACATAAGAATCAAAATAAACGAAAATGTTATAGTTCACAATATCATGAAGATCACAATCTATACAATAAGACAACATAAACCCGATTCTCTTACTAAAGAGCCTTGAGCCCCATCCCTATGCATTGGAACATACATACGTCATAAAGCAAAAAAAATGCAGACTTTCGATACTAAAAAGATTTGTGCAAAACAGTCTTATAGAACCGAAACATTAATAAACAAACTCGCATCCAAAACCTATCAAACACACTCATATATCATTACGCTAAAGAATAAGATCAACAGTCTCATTGTTACTCGAAAACAAGAAGCACACGTCTACTCAAGCTTGAGATCACAATGCAATGAACTACCCAACTCCTAAGATGATTTTTTATACTTAAAGAGACTAGTGCAAAACAATCTTATAGATTCAAAACATTGACATACCAAAGCCACCTAAAATGATTCTATCAAAGATCAACCTCTATAGCTCACCTTCTTCGATGAAGACAGACAACCCGAAATCGGTAGCTTTAAGCATAGCATTCTCCTCTTTACTCGAAAGCAAGAAATTCTCAGGCTTAAGATCTCGATGAACCACACCCATAAAATGACAAATCTGAACAACATTGACAATAGACCTAATGATACCAGCAGCAGCTCTCTCAGAGTAATGACCTTGAGCTATAATCCTATCAAACAACTCACCACCAGCACACAACTCCATAACCAAATGCACAGACTGTCTATCCTCATAAGCACCTTTAATCTCAACAATGTTTGGTTGTCCAGACAAATACTGCATTATCTGAATCTCTCTCTTCACATCTTCTTTATCTTGTTTACTAATTAACTTCCTCTTAAGAATCGATTTACAAGCATAAGTGTTCCCAGTCCCAATCTCTTTACACATATACGTAATCCCAAATTGACCTCGACCTAATTCTTTCCCCAAGCTGTAGAATTTCCTGATGTCTTCGAAGGGTTTACCTAATATCGTCTCCGGATCTCGAACTGAGATTGGGTTTGAAGACGGCGTTGAAATCTGTTGAAGGATTGGTTGATTCATGGGTTTGGGTGTTGGGGTCTGAGGTTTACGATGCTCAGGGACTTGATTAACGACATGGGTTTGAACAGGATTGATCGGAATTGTTCTTTCTCCGCCGTCGTTTTGAGTTTTCCGGTGTTTACTACTGAAACAACCCATTAATAAAGGAGGAGACTTTCTTACTGGGTTGAAGAAAAAGATGAGCTTGAAGGATGATTGGAAGAGAGAAACCCAGATCGGAAAATTTTTAAAGATTGAGGAAGAAGAAATTGACTTGTGAATGTTTTGTTTGACTGGAATTGGATTAGTATCTATCAGTGGCGTCAATTTCTGGAATTGGAACTGTTTAAGTAAATTGTCTTTGTCAATTTGCTGAAAATACTCGGACAATAAATAAATTAATTATATTTTAAAAGACTTACATTTTTCAAAGGAATTTATGGTGAAATTTTTTGAATATTTTGTTCTAGAAAGGGAAATTCCTTTTTTTTGTTGGAGACAGTGTACAGAATATTTAACTTCATAATTAGAAAAGTTTTGAAATTCGAACTGTCAATAGTATTTTTTCTTTTTTTTCTCAGCTGAAAATATATATCGAGGTCTTAAATTGGGCCACTATAAAGGCTTTACTTAATTGGCCCATATACAATATTAAATCTTCATTTGCGATGGCTGCTGTTGATGAGTGATGATGAGAGAAAGATAAGTGTATTTTGTTTTGGACAAAGAGTTTTTCCAAGATTGTTGTTATGAAATCGTGAAGGAAAAGTAAAAACAAATATTGTAGTAAATAATATTATATACATAAATCTAGTTTAGTAATATAAGAACACAAAAGATTATGGAATAACTCTCTTTTATTAGCCTTAGAAATTACTCAAACTAAGCTCTCAATCTCATAGAGTTAACCACAACTTGGTACCTCTATTTATACAAAAATACTTTGACATATTCCTAACTCAAATAGGACTTGTTAGATAACTCCTAATATAATTATTTTAGATAACTCCTAGAATAATAAAGCTTTATCTCTTTAGTAACTTGCTCTTCAAGTTACCTAACCTTCAAGCTTACTTCCAACAATCTCCTCCTTAATTAAGCTTGAAGTCTTCTTTCATCACATCTTGAACTCCAAGTAGCTCCCTTATTTCTTTAAACTTGATTCTACCAAGCGCCTTAGTTAGAATGTCCGCTCTTTGCTCATTTCCCGGAACATATACCACCTCTATGTGCCCATTCTCAACACACTCCCTTATAAAATGGTATCTCCTATGTATGTGTTTACTTCTACCATGGAACACTGGATTCTTTGTTAAAGCAATGGCGGACTGGTTGTCGATTAGAACAGTGACCTTCTCACAAGGCGTTCCAGCGATTTCACTTAACAAATCTTGAAGCCAAATGGCTTGTTTTGCGGCTTCATTTCCTGCCATAAACTCTGCCTCACAAGATGACATGGCCACTACATCTTGTTTCTGCGAACACCATGATATAGGACTTTCACCAAGATAGAAAACATGGCCCATTGTGCTCTTACCATCATCCGGGTCAACGTTATGACTACTATCGCTATAGCCTAACAGTTTTGGTACTTCTTTGCTCCGATTATACACCAATCCAAGAGTTGTTGTCCCTTTCAAGTACCTGCTTCATTGCCACGGCATGAGGTTCTCTAGGACTTTGCATGTATCTACTCAAAATTCCCACACAGTATGACAAGTCCGGCCTGGTGTGAAGAAGGTATCTAAGACACCCTACATTCTTCCTATACACCGTAGCATCCACTTCCTTCTCATGTTCTGATTTTGACGCCTTTAGACCAATTTCCATAGGAGTGCGAACTGCGTTACAATCTTTCATACCAGCTTCTTCTAGAATCTTGAGAGCATACCTTCTTTGATTCAAAGTTATTCCTCCATTGTGTTGTAAGACTTCAATTCCAAGATAGTATGTCAGCTTTCCTAAGTCACTCATCTCAAATTTGAAGGACATCTCTTCTTTGAACTCTTTAATGATATGTAAGCTTGTTCCCGTGACAAAAAGATCATCAACATACACTGCTATCACTAGAAGATGTTCCTTAGTTTCTTTGCGGTAAACGGATGGCTCTTTTGAACATTTTTTAAACTGCAGTTCACAGAGAATGCTGTTCAACTTATTGTTCCATGCTCTTGGAGCCTGTCTTAAACCGTAAAGTGCCTTATTGAGCTTGTATACCTTATCCTCGATTCCCTTTTTCTCAAATCCCTATGGTTGGCAAACGTAAACTGTCTCCTTTAGTTCTCCATGCAGAAAAGCCGTCTTGACGTCTAAATGGTGTATTTCCCATCCATGGGATGCTGCAAGATCAATGAGTAACCTTATCGTTTCAATTCGTGCCACTGGAGCAAATACTTCCTCAAAGTCCACTCCGTATTTTTGCACGTATCCTTTGGCGACAAGTCTAGCCTTATACTTGTTGATACTACCATCGGAGTTCTTCTTGAGCTTGAAAACCCATTTTAGACCAATTGGTTTTGTTCCTATGGGTAAATCGACAAGATTCCATGTCTTGAATTTCTCAATAGAATTGATCTCATCTTCACATGCTCTCATCCATTCTTTAGTCTCTTTTGCTTCATGAAAACTTCTTGGCTCATCATTTAAACATAAGAGTAGTACTTCACCTTCTTCTTCAGCCATTAGAACGTAGTCTTCAAGGTATTTAGGCTTTGTGATTTCTCTCCATGTCCGCCTCAAGACTGGTGGCGTTTGAATATGAGTATCCATACTCTCTGTTTCATGATCAAGAAAATATTCAGCTCCTCCGTCATTATCATTGTCGCAGCTTTCAACACTTTGCTGCTCTGTTTCACTACCCTCCCCTGTTTCACTGTTCTCAACTGTTTCTTCAATGCCATGATTTCCAAAATCTCCAAGAGTAACACTAAAGCTTTCGTTTCCCCGTTTCTCTTGATTGTTAGCGTTCCAATTCCATCCCTTAGTCTCATCAAAAACAACATCTCGGCTTACCACAATTTTCTGGTTTTGTGGATCCAACAATCGATATGCTTTAGATCCCGGCTCAGTACCTAGATGAACAAGCATACGTGATCTATCATCTAGCTTTTTCAAGTGTGGTGTCTCCACTTTTGCATATCCAATGCATCCAAAGACCCGTAAATGTTCAATGTTTGGTTTTCGGAATCTAAAGCCTTCATAAGGAGTTTTGTCCTTGACAGATCTTGTAGCAACTCGATTCAAAAGGTATGTTGAATGCCTTATAGCTTCTCCCCATAAGTAGTTTGGCACATGCATATGTTTCATGATACTTCTTGCCATCTCAAGTAAGGTTCTGTTTCGCCTCTCCACAACTCCATTTTGTTGAGGAGTGTGAGGAGCTGTGAGATGCCTCTTTATACCATTGTCTTCACAAAAAGAATTAAACTCTTGAGATACAAACTCACCCCCTCTGTCAGTTCTGAAAACTTGTACCTTTTCTCCTGATTCTTTCTCTACTAGACTCTTGAATCTTTTGAATTTGACAAAAGCCTCATTTTTTTCTTTCAAGAGAGTTGTCCACATGTATCTAGAATGATCATCAATGCGAACAAAGATGTATCTGTTACCTGCCATTGTGCTTGGCGTTATTGGTCCGCAGAGGTCTTCGTGTACAAGTTCAAGTCTCTTGCTTACCCGATAAGAAGTTGATTTTGGAAACACTTGTCTCACTTGTTTCCCGAGTAAGCATGAACTGCAAGTTTCCTTTTCAATTTGTATCTTTGGAATTCCCTCAACAAGTTCCTTTTGCATCATGTTCCTTATAGTCTCAAGGTTTACATGTCCCAATCTTGAGTGCCACATGCTTGAATTGCTTATCGTTGTTAAGTAGAGACGTGCGGTATCCTTTAAGTTCATTCTGACCTTGTATAAACGATTTTGTGATCTGTTTGCTTTAACAATCAACTTTCCCTCTTGATCATGCATTGTAAGAATGTCTCCTTTCATTCTTATATCACACCCGGATTCTGTAGCTTATCCTAAGCTAATGATATTACTTCTCAACTCCGGAATGAAGTAAACGTTTGTCATTACTCTTGGTTCACCGTTTCTGTCAACAAAGGATATTGATCCTTTTCCTTTTATATCGATTCTTGAATCATCACCAAAACGTACTTTTCCAGTGATTGAGTCATCAATCTTTGTAAAATATCGTCGATCCCCTGTCATGTGATTGCTAGCGCCGTTGTCAAGATACCAAATATTTTCCTCTCCAGTATTTGTTTCAAAGTTACTAGGAATGAAGTTCTTCTCATTCAAAAACACTACTTCATGTATTAGAAGTTCATCTGCGTTTATCACTGTTATTGGTTTCTTGAGCTTCTTGTAACTTGAGCAACCTATCCGGACAATTTGAGGCATAATGACCTATTTTATCACACCTGTAACAAGTGATTTTAGATGTATCCCTAGACTCAATAAATCTTCATCTGCCTCTTCCTCTGGAGTTGAATCTACCACCTCGTCCCCTGTTTCTATACTCGCTATTAAACTCCCGACTATATCCTCCTTGTTGAGACTCAGTGTTTGAATACATCAACTTGGTTTGATCTTCCTGAGTTTCTTCTTCTTCTTCTTCCTCAAGGACCCGTTCTTCATATACCTTCAAGCGTCCAGTGATGTCTTCAAAAGATATAGTGTTAAGATCTAACACTTGTTCAAGAGACTCTACTATATGTATATATTTCTTTCTAGGAAGGCCTTTAAGAAACTTTTTCACAAGTTTTGATGTTTCAATGTTAACCCCAAGAGAAGCAGATTTCGATGCTATTTCAGATAGCTTTCCCGCAAAGAAATCGACGGTTTCCGTCTCTTTCATCTTCAAACGATCAAACTCATTCATTAGGGTTTGTAGTCTCGCCTCTTTAACCCTCTCTGCACCCATGTTCTTTGCTTTGATTGAATTCCATACTGCCTTTGCTGTTGTTACCTCGCCAATTTGTAGGATCATAGCCTCGGGTATGGACTGAAACAATAATGCTATTGCAACATCGTTTTTCTCTTCGTTTGTTGTACCCGCTTCTATGGTTTCCCACACCTTGTGAACCCTGAGACAGATCTTCATCCTCATGGCCCAAACCGTGTAATTCGTTGTTGTAAGCATGGGACATTGGATGGAAGACGAGCCTCCTCCTTTTATTTTCCCAGTCGTAACGGCGAGCTCCGCCATGTTCCTCCGTGTGCTTTACGATCTTATTGTCTCTGATACCAATTCCAGTTTAGTAATATAAGAACACAAAAGATTATGGAATAACTCTCCTTTATTAAAATTACTCAAACTAAGCTCTCAATCTCATAGGGTTAACCACAACTTGGTACCTCTATTTATACAAAAATACTTTGACCTATTCCCAACTCAAATAGGACTTGTTAGATAACTCCTAATATAATTATTCTAGATAACTCCTAGAATAATAAAGCTTTATCTCTTTAGTAACTTGCTCTTCAAGTTACCTAACCTTCAAGCTTACTTCCAACAATAAACTCATAAATCCGAGGCAATTTTGAAGAAGATTAAAATTACAACTTTTAAGATGGAGTATTCAGCTGTTAAAAGCACAAAAGAAGAAACGACGTCGATTTGGCTCAGATTCTCGGTTCAATCCAAAACGACGTCAGTTTGGATCAATGTTCACGCGTGGAATCCACCTCAGCATGACTTCACAATTGCTTAACAGTATTAAGCGTTTTGTATGAAAAAGTCTGACTTACAAGATTCTCAAGAAAGTTACAAAAAGAAAGAGTAGATTTGTTTTTGTTACAACTTACAAAGAGCTAAGACGCCAACCTCTTGTAGCTTGTCTGGTTGCAAAGGCACAATAAGTGCTAACCTGTGACAAGATCAATTCTCGAGCAAGTCACTGAAAGAGAAAGAAAGAGAGAGATGATGAAGAAGAAGAGCTAAGACATGACAGTATCTCAAACTCAGTTTCAACTAACTAAGGAGAAGGATAAATAAAGTTGTTCTGGTGAATGACTATTAAACTAATCCTCACAGGATCACATTCAAACACAGAAGAAAAAAAAAGAACATTCTGAGACTACTCTCACCTCGCTTTTTCATGGTTTAGCTCTTGTACTCCGGGTTTAAGAATTACTTTCCCTTGATAAGCTGTTGGGATCTATGTAGTCTTGATCAGTGGAATAGAAACAGTTTCCCTTTTGGTTGTGTGGTGCGTGCCACATCTCATCATCGCACGAAATTCCTCAAAGGTTATTTTACCATCCTGTAACATAGTTCCTTTCAAGAACCGGTTTAAGATTTAAGTTTAGTTACCGCAGTATTATCAAATCAAAATGGATACATTTATGGAGAATTATTCCATTTATTTACTGTTTTGATATTGAATGTGATGTATAAAAATATAGAACTCCTTGAAATGAGAAGGGGACGAAAAATTGTCTGAATACAAACAAGGCAATAATACTCATTTTCTACTATTTTCTTTTCTGCAAAAGCTTAGATTTTTTTTTTGTTCAAAACAAAAGCTTAGTTAAATCGCAAATAATATGATACTCTTGTTCTTTAGAGTTTTGTGTCCCACAATTCATAACAAATTTTAATTGTTCGGATCCGGTATCCAAACTCCTATTCAACGACATGAACTACTAACAAGTATAAAAATTATCGAAAATGAATATAGTCTTGTTACCGTAATATATATCTATGTAGTAATTTGAATATTTTTAAGAATTATATATATATATGTTCATATTTACATAGAAACTATCGAAAATATTTGCTAAGTACCAAGTAGAAACAAAAGTTATATAAGAGAAATCGGTTTCGACAACCATCCACGACATTTCTGTCGAAGAGAGTTTTTCTATAGTCATATATTGGCGAAAAAAAAGAAAAGAGAACCCTAGATCGAAAATCAAGAATGGAGAAAAAACCAAAAGCAAATTTGGTGCCAGAGGAAGCATTGATGAAGATCTGGGGTAGATTTTCATTGAGAAGCATTGCTAGATTCAGATCAGTCTGCAAAGAATGGAAATCGATGATCGATTCCGACGTCTTCCGAGATCTCTATGAGTCTCTCAACTCTTCCTCATCCTCCGTTTCGTGGTCGATCATGAGCACAAGGAACAAAACAATGTCGCTAGAAATCGTGGGACACCATGGATGCGAAAGATGGGGACTTACCGAGTCCTTAGGCTCTTTCATTACGCGCCACAATCCCAGTGAGACCACCACAGTGAGAAAAACTTGTGTCTTGAGCTGCACGGATGGGTTGGTATTGCTTTACACCGAAACCATCGAAGGCGCACCAATGTATCACGTCGGAACCCCTTGTTGCGACAATGGGTTCAGATCCCTCTTCCTCCACATCTCTCTGGTTATGATGTCGTGAGGTTACAAGAGAATCAATGTTTTAACGACAATGGACTGGTCACAAAGATAGAAAAGGGTATTGCCGTGGGTTACAAGGTTGTGTGGACTTTGGTTTCAGGTCTGGTATCTAATGAACTCACTTTTATGATATATTCATCTGAGACAGGATTGTGGATAACCAAAGAGGTTCGTTGTCTCCGTAGCTTGATCTGGACTAGACTAGCGCATTCCGTTCCTTTAAACGGGTTTCTTCACTGTCTTGCTACTATTGATAACTCCTCTGTAGACGCGAATTATGTTGTAGGTTATGATTTCTATAATGGAGGAGGTGATGTGTATCCTATCATACCTTTTCCTGATATCCAAAAATTTCAAGCGACTCGGCTTTTCAAGAGAACAATGACAACGTCTGCTGGATTCGTGGTCTATTTCAACGTTTACAGTGATGATAATGAAGGAGAACGTGCAATCAGGGTTTACAGGCTGGTCTCTACAAATGAGCATCCTAATTCATGGCAACTCTTGTGGAAAGTCAACACCAAGGGTGGTGGTGTTGATTATTTACCTGTGGTGATGCATCCTTTGAACTCTGATATCATTTACTGTTGGAGTTGTAACAAGAACGCTCTGGTTTTGTTTGACTTAAGGGCACGCAAGCATAGTTTTCACAAGGAGGAAAAGAAGAACAAGTCTATGGATGGTTGCATCATGACATTTACAGGATGCAAGGAGTATATGGATTTGATCTATCCAAAGTTTGTCAATGATATGTACGGTGCTGCTCACAATCTCTTCTTTTCCCAGTACGTTCACTTCTCCCACGCTGGCTAAACCCGCTCCCGAAGCTTTCTTCTTGATTATTATTATGCATGTTTTTTTTGTCATTTGGACAATAAAATATTTTTCTAAGGAATTTATGGTAAAGTTTTGAATATTTTGTTCCAGAAAGGCACAATAACTGCTAACATGTGACAAACCTCTTGTAGCTCGTCTGGTCTGCCAACGCACAATAAGTGCTAACCTGTGACAAGATCACTGAGAGAGAAACAAAGAAAGAGAGAGATGATGAAGAAGCAGAGCTAAGACATAACAGTATCTCAAACTCAGTTTCAACTAACTAAGGAGAAAGGATAATAAATCTGTTCTTGTGAATGACTGACTATGAAACTAATCCTGGCAGGATCACATTCAAACACAGAAGAAAGAAGAACATTCTGAGATAGTTTACCAACTTGACGTAGGAGGGACTTAGTTTTAGTAGTTTTACTTTTCCTTTGATATTTCCTTATTTCACGTTTCTATTTTGCTTAGAGTTTTCTATTTTATGTTTTGGTTTCTTCTCTATATAAAGAGAGATCCTAGGTTATTTGCAAGACAGTTTTATCATTCTAATTAATAAAAGCAGAGAGCTTTTCTCTAATCTGGTGGATTTCCAGAGTTTCAATCCTTCAAGTTCGACTTGATTTCTATCTAGGCATAGTGTTTGCTATTCCTAGAGATTCCGACTGCGTCAAGTGGTATCAGAGCAGACTTTCTCTTGTCTCTTTTCAAAGCTTGATCAGCTATGGGAGATCAATCGTTGACCAAAGCAGACTTACAGGGTTTTACCGAGGCTATTACCACGGCTCTGACTGCTTTGACCAATCAGATGACGATTTTGACAACTGAGATCAGAAACACTAACAACAACAATAACCAGCAAAGAGGCAGAGAAGGAGAACAAGTGGTGTTTAACGAAAATCAGCAAAGAGGCAGAGAAAGAGAACCGGCTAGGCTTAACGAAAATCAGCAGAGAAACCAGGGAAGAGGAATCCCAAGAGTGGAAAACAATCGTGTTATTATCAATGAAAATTCAAGTTCTGATGAAGAGGAATTTGTGGAAGAAGAAGTTGAGCAAAGGAATCGACAGAATAATCACGATTACCGCGTAAAGGCTGACATTCCATTATTTTATGGAACTATTGGAGTTGAGGATTTTCTAGACTGGCAAATCAGTGTTGATAGATTCTTTGAAGTCATGGGCGTTCCTGAAAACAAGCAGGTTAAGATGGTAGCGATCAGGCTGAAGAGTACTGCTGCTGTGTGGTGGGATAAACTTGTTATTCAGAGGCAAAGACAAAGAAAAGGGCCAGTCAAAACATGGAGGCGAATGAAGCAGCTCATGATGGAAAGGTTCTTACCGGAGGACTATGAACAGATTCTCTATAAGATGTATATTGAATGTGTTCAAGGAAAGAGGACCGTGACAGAGTATACGGCAGAGTTCTTGCGATTCTCTGAGCGTAATGACCTAGGAGAGACAGAAAATCAGAAAGTGGCAAGATACATCAGTGGGTTAAAGAGTTCTATACAAGAGAAGATGGGTTTGCAAACTGTATGGACAGTGCAAGAGGCTTCTAGTCTAGCTTTGAAAGCTGAGTTAATGGAAAAATCTCCTCGTAATTTTACTCCGTTTAGAAGATACTCATCCCAAAATAATTCTGAATTAACCGGAGATAAGGAGAAGAGTGTAGTGTCAAAGGATGCTAATCTTGGTAACAAAGGAGCTGGTAGTTCTAACAATGGTTCTAATAATGTTCAGCAGAGCAAAACACCAATCCAAAGGCAAGGTAATAATTATGTGAGACCATCTATCGACAAGTGTTACCGTTGTCAAGGGCAAGGTCACAAATCAAATGTTTGTCCAAGCAGGAGAACTCTAGCTTACCTAGAGGAAGAAGAAGAACATGAAGAAGAGGATAATGAGTATGAAGGAGTTGAGTTTGCTGAAGAAGAATCGCATGAAAGGGTGAATTGTGTACTACAAAGAATCTTGTTGTCATCCAAAGAAGAGGGGCAACGCAAGAATTTGTTTCGAACACACTGCACTGTTCGAGATAAAGTGTGTAACCTGATTGTGGATAATGGTTGTACCGAGAATTTAGTTTCTCAGAAGCTAGTTGATCATTTTAAGCTACCTACAGAGCCACATGAGAAGCCATACGCTCTAGGTTGGGTTACCAAGGGTACCCAAGCTCAAGTAGCACTAACTTGCAAAGTTCCTATCTCCATTGGGAAGCACTATAAAGAAGAGGTACTTTGTGATGTTCTTGATATTGATGTTTGTCATATTTTACTTGGTCGACCTTGGCAGTATGATAATGATGTTACATATCGAGGACGGGATAACGTGTTGATGTTTACATGGGGTGTACACAAGATTGCAATGGCTCCTGTTTTACACTTTCATAAGGATTCAGTAAAGAAAAAGTCTAGTTTCTTGGTGTTGACGCATAGTGAAAAGGAGCTAGATGAATCCTTTAAAGAGACTAACTGTTTATGTCCGGTGGTGATCAAAGGATTAATGAGTGCTGTGAAAGAAGAGGTGGCAATTCCCGAAGATGTGCTAGAAATTTTAGAAGAGTTCAAGGAGTTGATAGCAGATGAATTACCAAATGATTTACCTCCCATGCGAGATATTCAACATCAGATCGATCTGATTCCGGGATCTAGCTTACCAAATCTTCCTCATTACCGTATGAGTCCTAAGGAGAATGAGATCTTGAGAGAGCAGATTGAAGATTTGTTGAAGAAAGGATTCATTCGTGAAAGTATGAGCCCATGTGCAGTTCCAGTCCTTCTTGTTCCTAAGAAAGGAAATCAATGGCGGATGTGTGTTGATAGTAGAGCTATTAACAAGATAACTATCAAGTATAGGTTTCCGATTCCTCGATTGGAAGATATGCTTGATGAATTAACAGGTTCTAAGGTGTTTTCGAAGATAGATCTTCGTAGTGGATATCATCAGATCAGAATCAGACCCGGAGATGAATGGAAGACAGCTTTCAAAAGTAAAGATGGATTGTATGAATGGCTAGTGATGCCTTTTGGGTTATCAAATGCACCTAGTACTTTTATGAGGCTAATGAATCAGGTTCTTCGCCCCTTCACAGGTTCTTTTGTGGTCGTTTATTTTGATGATATTTTGATATACAGTAAAACCAAAGAGGAGCACTTAGAGCACGTGAAGCAAGTGTTGCAAGTTCTACAAGAGAACCAGTTGTTCGTTAATTTGAAGAAGTGTGTATTTAGCACCAACAAGTTGCTATTTTTAGGATTTGTTGTTGGCGAGGATGGAATTCAAGTTGATGAAGATAAAGTGAGAGCTATCAGGGACTGGCCTACACCTCATTCGGTTACGGAAGTACGCAGTTTTCATGGTCTAGCTACTTTCTACCGGAGATTCATCAGAGATTTCAGTACTATTACTGCTCCTATTACCGAGTGTTTGAAGAAAGGTAAATTTTACTGGGGTAATGAGCAAGAGAAAAGCTTCGCCTTAATCAAAGAGAAGCTTTGTACTGCACCCGTTCTAGCATTACCTGACTTCGATAAGGTGTTTCAAGTTGAATGTGATGCTAGTGGAGTAGGCATAGGAGCTGTTTTGTCACAAGAGAAGAGGCCGGTTGCATTTTCAGTGAGAAATTGAGTGAAGCTCGCCAAAAGTGGAGCACATATGATCAAGAATTTTATGCTGTATTTAGAGCTCTAAGACAGTGGGAGCACTATCTAGTACAGAGGGAGTTTATCTTGTTCACCGACCATCAGGCTTTGAAGTTCTTACACAGTCAGAAAGTGATCAATAAGATGCATGCTCGATGGGTAAGTTTTCTGCAGAAATTCCCTTTTATTATTCAACATAAATCAGGGACTCTTAACAAGGTCACGGATGCTTTAAGTAGAAGAGCTTCTTTGCTAACAACCTTAGCACATGAAATTGTTGGATTTGAGTTCTTGAAAAAATTGTATGAGAGTGATATTGAATTCAAGGAGTTATGGGCCAAGTGTAGTGGAAAGCGTCCTTGTGCAGATTTCCACATTCGAGAGGACTATCTTTTTAAAGGTGATCGGTTATGTATTCCTTGCTCGTCTTTAAGAGAGAAATTAATTCGGGATCTTCATGGTGGTGGTCTTAGCGGTCATTTGGGTAGAGATAAGACCATTGCTAGCTTAGAGGAAAGGTATTACTGGCCACATCTAAGAAGAGACGCAGGGACTATTGTCAAAAGGTGTTATATCTGTCAGGTTTCTAAAGGTCAGTCTCAAAATACTGGTCTTTATATGCCTTTACCTATTCCGGATGATATTTGGCAAGATTTGGCTATGGATTTTGTGTTGGGATTGCCCCGTACGCAACAAGGTGTGGATTCTGTGTTCGTGGTAGTTGACAGGTTCTCTAAAATGACTCACTTTATTGCTTGCAAGAAGACTGCTGATGCGTCAAATATAGCCAAACTATTTTTCAGAGAGATCGTGCGTCTTCACGGGGTTCCTAAATCGATTACTTCAGATAGGGATACAAAGTTTCTCAGTCATTTCTGGATTACTCTTTGGAAGATGTTCGGAACAGCTTTAAATAGAAGTTCTACAGCTCATCCACAAACTGATGGACAGACTGAAGTAACCAACAGAACTTTGGGGAATATGATTCGGAGTATTTGTGGAGACAAGCCAAAACAGTGGGATTTAGCTCTACCTCAAGTAGAATTTGCTTACAACAGTGCTGTACATTCTGCGACAGGGAAATCACCTTTTTCTCTAGTGTATACTTCTGTTCCTAAGCATGTGGTTGATTTGATTAAGTTGCCAAAGGCTCCTGGAGTAAGTGCATCAGCTGAAACTATGGCTGAAGAGATTTTAGCTGTTAAGGAAGCTGTCAAGGCTAAGTTAGAGGCTACCGAGATGAAGAACAAGGTCGCTGCTGATAAACGTCGGAGGTTCAAAGTTTTCAAAGAAGGTGATGATGTGATGGTGTTCCTTCGTAAAGAGAGATTTCCAGTTGGTACGTACAACAAGCTGAAGCCTCGCAAGTATGGCCCGTTCAAGGTGTTACGGAAGATCAATGATAATGCTTATGTTGTGGCCCTCCCGGAATCGATGAACATTTCCAATACCTTTAATGTAGCTGACATTCATGAGTATCATGCAGATGAAGTCCTTTATCCAGAAGAGAACTTGAGGACAAGTTCTTCAGAGGTGGAGGAGACTGACGTAGGAGGGACTTAGTTTTAGTAGTTTTACTTTTCCTTTGATATTTCCTTATTTCCATTTCTATTTTGCTTAGAGTTTTCTATTTTATGTTTTGGTTTCTTCTCTATATAAAGAGAGATCCTAGGTTATTTGCAAGACAGTTTTATCATTCTAATTAATAAAAGCAGAGAGCTTTTCTCTAATCTGGTGGATTTCCAGAGTTTCAATCCTTCAAGTTCGACGCTTGCGAACTTGATTTCTATCTAGGCATAGTGTTTGCTATTCCTAGAGATTCCGTCTGCGTCACAACTACTCTCACCTCGGTTTTTCCTGGGTTTGCTCTTGTACTCCGGGTTTAAGAATTACTTTCCGTTGATAAGCTGTTGGGATCTATGTAGTCTTGATCAGTGGAATGGAAACATTTTCCCTTTTGGTTGTGTGGTGCCGCATCTCATCATCGCACGAAATTCCTCAAAGTTTATTTTTCCATCCTGTAACATAGTTTCATTTCAAGAACCGGTTTACTGTTTGAGATGTTGGATTATGTTAGAGAGTGCGACTTACATTGTCGGTATCAACTTCGGATATAACTTCTTTGATGCTAGCTTCATCTCCCATTCCATATTCCTTCATGACACTTTCCAACTCAGCCCTAGTTATGTGCCTGTTGTATTACCAAAAGCATTAACATTGGTGCCTCATAATAGTTACACACAATTAAATCTTAATCCTCTTGACAAAAGAAAAAGAAATGATTCTTAGGGATTGATTCGTAAACTGAAAATGTAAGAAACTTACCCATTGTTGTCTTTATCAAAGTGTTGGAATGCTTTGTGTACATGCTCATCTCGATCTAATTTGTATCTATGCATTGTCGCAGAGATAAACTCATAGTAGTCAATTGTTCCATTACCATCCACATCAGCCTGAAAAATTATCATCATGTGTTTGAAGCTGTCTTTTTCAAGATCTTAATTGCGAAAAAGAGAAATCAAGATGCTGAAGATAACTTACCGCTTCCATGAGTTGCTTAACTTCAGTTTCAGAGAATCTATACCTAAGTCTACTTAGCCCAGTTTTGAGTTGTTCATAAGTGATTGTCCCGCTTCTATTGGTATCCATATTCGCAAACATGGTTTTAAGACCTTTGATCTCCTCTTCTGATAGACTCTCCGCGCTAATCTGCAAACCAAACACACAAATTAGAACCCAGAGTTCAGGCACTGGTAGTTATGAGATGTTTCAATTGATTAGAGAACACAAAGAGATGGTAAGAGTATAAGCGAGATGCATAATTAGTAATAAAGAAAGATGTATTATCATATTATTTTGACCTACGTGATTACCTTTAGAGCTAGCTTCTTAAGCTTGTTCATTGCTCGGAATTGCTTCATACGGGATAACACAGTGCTATCAATAGGCTTGTCCGGTGCTTCTCCCCCTTTGATCCAAGGATGTTCTATAAACCATAAGGATTGCTACATATTAGTAAAGCATTACTCAGTAGACGACCATAAACTCAAAGCAAGAACCAGATAAGACTTCAAGATTCAGATGTGTCTTTTTCAGACCTAAACAATGGACTGACTATCATGTTCTGGTGTCAAGCCTATAGAATAGGTAATCACGCATTCTATATGGAATTTTAATTTGATTTCTGTAGATCACATACAAACAAGATTGGCAAAAAAAGACTGGTAGTCTGGTATTCACATTGTCTTACCAAGAACCTGTGCAGCCGTGATTCGTCTCTTCGGGTCTTTGGTTAGCATCTTTCTAACAAGATCTTTCGCGCTCTCAGATATAGAAGGCCATGGTTGGCTTTCAACATCAATTTCGCCTTTTAGAATCTCAACGAATATTCCATCCTCATTGTCTACAAAATAACATATGATTACAGATCAAACCTTAAGAAGAAGAAAAAATCAAGAAGTTTTGTTAGCTTAAAGGTCTTTTACCAGCCCAAAAAGGAGGTAAACCGCTGAGTAGGATGTATAAAATGACACCTGCACTCCAAATATCGATTTCTTTCCCGTAACTTCGCCTTAATACTTCAGGAGCAACGTAGTAACGGCTCCCAACTACATCCTGGTAAACTTTTCCTGTACGTTTTGGTTTCACAAACTTAGCATGAAGCATATAAACATAAAAATCAAAATCAAAGAAAACGGCATATTTGAAAAAATCATAGATATCACAATCTGTACAATAATAAGACAACATAAACCTGATTCTATTACTAAAGAGTAGAGTCCCATCCCTATGCATTGGAACATAAGTCACCAATCTAGCTCATGATTAAAGCAAAAAATAAGCAGATTTTCGATACTTAGGAGACTCGTGCAAGACAGTCATATAGAACCAAACATTAATAAACATACTTGGATCCAAAACCTATTAAACGCACTCAAATATCAATACACTAAAGAATATGATCAATCTCGAGCTCACTTTCTTCAATGAACACAGAACATTGGATTCCTTCATGCATAACATTCTATCCTTACTCGAGAACAAGAAGTTCTCGAGCATATGACATCACGATTCAATGAACTACCAAACTCCTAAGATGAATTTCGATACTAAAGAGACTTGTGCAAGACAATCGTATAGATTCATAAGATTAACATACCAAATCAACCTAAGATGATTCTATGAAAGATCAACCTCTATAGCTCACCTTCTTCGATGAAGGCGGACAACCCGAAATCGGTTACTTTAAGCATTGCATTCTCCTCTTTACTCGAGAACAAGAAATTCTCAGGCTTGAGATCTCGATGAATCACACCCTTCAAATGACAAATCTGAACAACATTGACAATAGACCTAATGATACCAGCAGCAGCTCTCTCAGAGTAATGACCTTGAGCTATAATCCTATCAAACAACTCACCACCAGCACACAACTCCATTACCAAATGCACAGACTGTCTATCCTCATAAGCACCTTTAATCTCAACAATGTTTGGTTGTCCAGACAAATGCTGCATTATCTGAATCTCTCTCTTCAAATTTTCTTTATCATACTTATTAACTAGCTTCCTCTTAAGAATCTCTGTCTTCACATCTTCTCTCTCACTAATTAGCGTCCTCTTGAGAATCGATTTACAAGCGTAATTGTTCCCAGTCCCAATCTCTTTACACATATACGTAATCCCAAATTGACCTCGACCTAATTCTTTCCCCAAGCTGTAGAATCTCCTGATGTCTTCCAATGGTTTACCTAATATCGTCGCTGGATCTCGAACTGAGATGGGTACCGATGGTGTTGGGATTTGAGGTTCACGATGCTCAGGGACTTGATTAACGACATGGGTTTGAACTGGATTGATCGGATTTGATCTTTCTCCGCCGTCGTTTTGAGTTGTCCGGTGTTTACTGCTGAAACAACCCATTATTAAAGGGGGAGACTTTTCGTAGAGTTTCTTCTTGGATTGAAGAAGATAAGCTTGAAGGAATTTGATGGAGAAAACATTTGTGGTTGTATATGTTTGACTGAAACTGGAATTGGAATTATCAGTCTCATCAATTTCTACTGTCTTTGTCAATTTGCTCAAAAACGAAAATACTCTTGAGAATAAAACTAAATATACTGAGTTTTAAAATAAAATGGAAATTTTCTTTTTTTTTCTATTGGTCATAGAATATGGAATCCATAGAATAGAAATTTTGGAATGTTTTGAATTTCGAGCTGTATTTTGGAAAAAATTTCCATATACAGAGAAAAGTAGACATCGAGGTCTCAAATTGGGCTGCTCTCGAGGCCTTAATTGGGCCTTATACGATATTAAATCTCCTTAGCGATGACCGATGATGATTGATGAAAGAAAGATAAATTTTGTTTCATGTGTCACACAAGTCACAACTCAGCAGCCAAATTCAAGTTTTACGTGAGCTATTATAGACTATTAAAAATAGTACAGATAAAACTAATCCACTCTTTATCAATTTAATCATAATCTATGGCATGATTAAAACAAAGAAAGAAATTAAAGGTCAACGTTCTACCCAAACAAGATCGTAAGTCAACGTAAAAGAACTAATGGCTTTGAAATTTGATCAAAACTAAAGTACCGACAAGATCGTGATTGATGAATGGGTTATGTGGCCATGTTCGGTCTTACAGCTTTTTCCAGTTTCTCTCACACACCACCACCGTACCAATACCATTTTCCATTTATTACATTGAATTTATATTTTATTGAGTTATAATTATATATATATATATATATATATATATATATATATATATATCGTATTTTTTCAAAATATTAACAAAAGTCGTAACGCATTGCACCTATTTTCCCTCGTCATGCTTTAGGGGTTGAGAATATTATTGAGTTCTTGCTTTGGAAGAAAACAAAATTTAGGTAAAACATAGTTGTCTTAATAGATGACAAATAAAAAAATAGTTGTCTTAATAGTTAGCATATTACGTAAGTGACCTGCATTTATGGCTAGCATTTTTATTTTTCAGTTTTGAATGGTGATAACTGATAGAGCATATTCGTTCATTCACAGTTAAACTGCTCTTAATTTACAATTTTGTTTATATATCACAGACTCACAGTTATCAAATGTTAATATTGCATATAGAAGAAAATGTTTTCTTTGCAAATATGTGCAACAAAAACAATATATTTGGTCTCTTTGGTATGACTCCTTGCAACTTGCAAGTAAGAGTACGAGCCGATATGTTTGACGAAATTTGCTTGTGTTCGCTTTATTGCTTAGTTAGTAGTGTAACACACAAAAAAAACAGTTTTATGTTTTGTTCTTTTGCTTTCAGTAATTAGAATTTGTATTTTATCAAATATCAAATTTTATAATCAGTTTCATACATTCTAAACATCACATATAATTTTTCGATAAAACATATTTTTCTAGCTTTTTCATCAGCTTTAACCTAATGGCCCAGACTAATTAAACAAGTCATATGCATGTGTATTGTGTGCCATGTTTTCACTAAGTCAATTAATTCTCAATATACATCTAAAAACATGAAATAAAAATTTTGATCAAATCATTCTTATGGTTTTTTTCCATGTTCAAATTTTAGGTGGAGATCCCAAATTAACCAAACTTTCGACAAACACAAATAACTATATTTGTTTCACAAAATTTAAGAATATTTATTTATAACATATAAAACAAAAAGAAAAAGTATCAAGATCATCAAACTTGAAGAGAGAAGAGAGGAGGAAGATCAGAGATAGTTCGAGAAGAAGAAGATGAAGAAGAAGAACACAAGAAACGTTTAAAAGATTTGAGGAAACGAGAGATAAGATTATTGCAGACACAACTATTACTCTTCCTCAGCTTCCTTAGCTTCTTACCAATTCTCATTCTTATCCCAACCACTCTGATCATAATCAATGGTCCAGACAATCTCCTCCTCTGTTGCTGTTGTCTGGTCTTGTTGTCTGCTCGTTCTAAAACCTTCTGAATTAGAAATTGAGCTCTGCTGTGAATTAGCTCTTGAGGGTCTTCTTTCTCCATCTTTGTGTACTCGTATGGACTATTCTTCACCATTAATGCCATATATTCTATCTTTCTTTTTTTTGAGTTCTTGTTCTATGTATTGAAGTATCAAGAAAGACTGAGTAAGCTAATAACATGAAGCACAAGTATATATATAGTGAGAGATGGGGAGAGAAAGAGAGACACCATGTGAGGATTATTAATTAGGTCTATGAATAATATTAATGTATACATACATGTGGATAAATTATTTTTCCAGTTGATTTGCCAAGACTATATTATCTTACACACGAAGAGTGTGATCGGTAGTTTTAGAGTAAATATAATTGGAAGAAAATTGAGTTTAAATTGAACCGAAGTTGAAGTATTTATTTTTTTAGCTTCTTTTTCTACTCTAATTATGTGAGACCCTTAATTTGATATGTTTTATCAAGATTAAAACATATTTAGAGGCGGCCGTCACATGAAGACTTCAAATGATTATAAAATCATCATTAGTTAATTTTATGTCAAGTTTGCTTTGTTTTGTTGCCTTTTGGTGGCATTTATGTGGCAATACTTGCATGCATGAACTCTTTTGCTAAGGTATCCGATGATGGAAGCAACATGATAAGGAATCTCTTAAGTAGTAGTAATAATTTTTTAATCATGTATTGATTTTTTTTTTTTTTTGTCATCCGAAATTAATTAGAGCTCAAAAGAGTCATTCCTGAGGAATGTTGTTTACACAAGTGATATGAAGCGGTTCTGTACGAACTTTTCGTGCCAGATTATCCGCCTTAACATTAGCCCTACGAGAAATTAAAGATAAAGAAAAAGATGAAAACTCCTCTTTGTCGCTCTGAAATTCCTCCAAATACACTGAAAACGCCGGCCATTCGGTTGGAGAAGACACCATCTTCACCAGGTCTGAACAGTTTGTTAAGAACGCTACCTCTTGATTATCTGCACCAATCATACACTTCATCGCCCAGAGAAGGGCCTCGACTTCGGCATGTAGTGGAGATAGACTTCTACGGAGGTTCGCAGCTCCCATGGTTGGCGGCTCTCCATTTGACGATGTACAGAACCAACCTGTACCGGAGAACTTATCACTTTCTTTCCATGATTCATCCACAAAACAACGGTATCCCGAATACTCCGTCTCAAGTGAAGCATCCCTCACTCGAATTCGATTTACCAAGTGTACAGAACCATGATTTTCATTATGGAGCTCAATTTGAGCGGACTGCCACAATTGTGCCTCTTTTTCCGCTAATCGTAATACTTCTAATGGGTCTGTATCTATGTTTTCAAAGATCTTTTCGTTCCTTGATTTCCAAATATACCAAATTATCCATGGGAAGGCTGATGAATCAACTTCCGTAGGTATTCTCCAAAATAAGTGATCCAAATTCGTAAAATTAGATTCCGTGGGAAAACCCCCATAGCCGTAGGAATCTGTGAAAGCGCCCAAATCTACCGTGCCGGGTGGCACTGAAAGAGTGTATGATTGATCGTTTCCTCTGCTGCGCCACATCTTGCACAACCCGTGTCACAATCAATTCCCCTTTTCCGCAACTTTTCCGTAACCGGTAAACATCCCGTTAAGATTTGCCATATGAAATGGCGTATCTTAGGTGGACACTGCACTTGCCAAGAATATGCTTTTAACGGATTGATATTAGGGCCAAAACAGTTTAAATTGGTCTCCGACTTTTCCATCCATGTAGAATGATATCCCGATTTGACTGTATATTTTCCAGATTTTGTAAAATGCCAACAAAAAAAATCTTCTTTTGTTGGCGAACCCACATGTATAGCGCTTATTAGAGCGACATCTTCTGGATTAAAGATCGCTCTTAAGAGATCAATATTCCAAAAATTTGACCGACTATCTGTAAGGTCTTTAACTTTTAAAGATGGGTCAGCAACTGAACCATTACTTTTTGCTGGTCTCGGGAATTGAGCTGGAATCCAGGGATCCTCCCACACCGAGATGGATGTCTCAGATCCGACTCTTTTAATAAGTCATTTATTAACCAGAGATCTAACTGAACAAATACTCCGTCATGCATATGATGGGGAATATGATTTTATATTTTCCAAAGGATTGGATTTCCTAAAATACCGTCCTTTAAACATTTTTGCGAATAGAGAATCTGGAACCGTAATCAACCGCCATAATTGTTTTGCTAGTAAAGCTGAATTAAAATCGTCCACAATCCGAAATCCTATCCCCCATTCCGATTTGCTATTGTACAATTTGTTCCAAGTCATCCAGTGTATACCTCTAGAATCACCATTTGAGCTCCACCGTTTGAGTAATCATGTATTGATTGTTTAGTCGTCTTCACTGTTCGACAATGATTAACTAGCCAACCATGTATATTTCCAAACATTTACCATTGTAATTATACTACTCCTTTATTTCTTCAAATCTTATGCATGTTTAATTTTAAGATTTAGATTTCCACACATTTTAAGAAATCAATTGCAATACCAAATAATCTAATCTAGCCACACATGGGCTATGCATAAAAACATGAAATTATAGAAAATCGAAAATATTGGTCACTACTAACCAAGTGAATTCCTACTTATTTTGGAAAAAAATTTCAATAGTCTTATGAAATAGAGATAAATGATCGATGTTTACATTCGTCATAAACTGTGAAAAAGTAAGTTCGAAATTTTTTATTTTTGTGGATTAGTTTTGATAAATTCAAACAAAACTTTAAAATTTTTAAAGAATCTTTACATCCACTAAAATAGAGATGAATAAGTTGAGAAATAAAAATTTGTCACTTAAAAAGAATAAGATAAAAATTTGAGAGAAATAAATAAAATAACCTAATGTTATATAAAATCCAAAAATTAAAGTATTCGTCAGACTTTTTTTTGTTAAAAGGTTATCATTCGTCAGACTTATTAGCTTTTTCGACGTCAGACTCAATTTTTTTTTTTGTGCATCCGTCAGACTCAATTATGTCAAAATAAAAATACTTGAAAAATACACAATCCTATATCATATTATATCATACGGCATGCCGGCAAAAACGTCAACAGAGAAATTAATAAAAGAAAAGACAAAATTTCCACCGGCAATAAGCTTTGAAATTTTTTTCGTATAATAATAATAACCAAAAATAATGCTGATAATGAAAAAAACAAAGAAACGGTGTCATAATGATGGGACAAGCAGAGAGTTTAGATCTGTGTGAGTGAGTGCTTACCTCAAAAAGTCAACTCACCGGCTTAAGAACTCGGCTTTTGCCAGCTCTCTCTCTAACCTTCTTTAATCAGTCATGAAACAATCCTCTTGTGTAGTTGGAATAAGTTAACTATTTTTATATGGAATTTTGTATTACAAAATTAGTTCAACTATTATTTGAAACTATTTTTCTCTAAAGAACTAGTATTATTTAGACCAGTTTCTATAATGTCAAAAGAAATAAGGGTGAAGTTATTTTAAAGATCTCTATTTTGAAGTTGAATAAAGAGTATAATTGAAGAAGAATTTACTCTAGATTAAAGTGTAGGGGTGGACATAGAGTAAAATTGAAAATGCACTTATGATATTTATCTACACTAATATAAAACTTCATATGGGTTGCACAATTTGCAAGTATCTTTAGATTTCAACAAAACCCCAAATAATATATTTGTTTACCAAAAAAAAGTTTCGCAAAATCTCTCCTTGTTGCTTCTATTTGAACATTAGTATTCTGATTTATAGAATTCTCGATTTGAGAAGAAAAAAAAACAAACCTTGTCAATCTCGATACTTTTTTTAACTCTTGTATTTTTATTTTTTGGTCAATTTTCTTTTTGTGCACAAAAATAGAATTGGCTTTTCTAGAAACAAAAGCATCTTTCAAATTGTCCGCTAACTCTTTACCAATAACTAATCTGAGTTAGTTAGTTTTCATATTTTATGTTAACGAATAACCCATCCTACATATATCTTAGTTTTTTTAGAAAATTGAATCCATATACTTTATATATATAGTAAAACTAAAATGTTACAAATAGAAACTAATTACAAACTTACAAGTCACTATGTGAGTAATCTACAAACTATTTTCACCAACACAAGTATAAACAATAATGAATATAAATCTTGTGACGAAAAAAAGGGACAATCGTTCCCATTGAAACCCTCTCTTCTCTCTCCTAAAGCCAGATCTTAGATCTACTTCATCTCCTTTTTTCTTTTTTCGTTTATTGATCTTCAGTGTCGGTTGATGGGTGAGGGAGTGAAGCGGTGGTGAGCGTCTTTCTTCTCCGGTGGTGTGAGGTGTGGTTTGGTCTTTGGCTCATTGCTTGTTGGTGGCTCTCCTTCACGGCGGCCAGAGAAGCGGTTCCTTCGTTCTGCTGGTTAAGGACAACAGTAGATTGGATCTTGTTTCTCACGGCTCGGCGGCTTGTGATTGTGGCTCCGGCGAGTAGCGGAAGTTGAGCTTTCGATCGGTGGGTTTCACCACTTTGCGAAGAGGTTAACGGTGGCTCCTTGGCAGGATCCTAGATGGCTAGTTTCGGGTGATCCTTGGCCGGATTTGGGCGGTTGATGGCTTGTTTTGAGCCGGCGTCCATCAGCTGCCTCCGTTTTTGGCTTCCTCTTTGCCGGATCTGAAGACTGATTTAGCTTTTGGAGTGGTTCAAGGAAGAACGTCGAGGGAAGTAAGGGTTAGTTTTGATGTCTCTCTTCTTGCTAGGTCGGGGAGAAGAGGTCCTGGGTCTCGGTTGTGGCGGATCTTCCTTTCCCGAAAGGAAAGTTCTGGGTTCGGTTTGTGTCTCGGCGACAGGTTGCGACCGGATTTGCTAGCTCCGGTCAAAGTCTTGCTGTTGAGGTCTTGTCCGCAAAGGAACCGTCCTTGTTAGCATCGGATCTGGAAGGCGAGATTCGTGTTTTCCGGTGTACTGCCTTCTTCAGATCTCACTTTGCTTGTGTTTCTGATTGGGCCATTTCTTTTTGTAACCCGTTAATTTTCTAGGCCCATCAGCCTAAGCCCTTTTTGGGAATTATTAATATATTAAAAAAAAAAAAAAAAAAAAAAAAAAAAAAAAAAAAACCAATAATGAATATATGCATGTTTATATATATATATATATATATATATATATACATGCATGATTCTTCAAACAGTCCCGTGTAAACAAGAGAAGCCCAATGAGTTTTTAATCCACACGTGGAATCATTGGACTAGAAGTTTATTCATTAGGCTACAAGCCCATAAAAAATATGTTGAATATTTGAATAGACTCACAAGTCGCAACAGACGGTGGAAGGATGCTCTGATAGATTGTGGGGATTGGTGGTTGCCACGTGAGTACGTGACTGTGCGTGGTAGTTGGCTATTCAGTAGTATTTGTTTTGATGTCCCCAGTCCCACACCTTTGGTTTCTGAGTTCGACGTTTTATTTCTTGGTAATTAATTCCAACCTAAAGCATTGTCTAACATCCAAAAAAATTAATGATTGTCGAAAACGAATCTATGACTTCAGTTTTTACTAGCAAATAGCTCATATATACATTATATAAGATACTGCTAACCAGCTTTTTATTCGGTCGGAGTTAAACAAAATCATATTTACTCTATTCGAACTTCAGACGAAATCTCATGTTCAAGATTACTTATGTAATATCCCGGTTTCAGAAATATGGTAGTGCATGTGAAGAGGTTTAAAAAAATTGATTTGGCCACCTCTGTTACCAAAGTGCATTTATTTTTTCGGTCAACTGTCCTGACAGAACTTCACAGTTAAGCGTGTTTGAGCTGGAGCAATTTCATGATGGATGACCTTCCGGGAAGTGATTATCGGAACTGTGTGAGTGAGGTGCCATTGATTCTATCTTTCTTTACCATTCTTCACCATTAATGCCACTGATTCTATCTTTCTTTTTAAAACACAGAAAAAGATCATGTTGTAATTTGTAGTGTCGGTAAACAAATTTTTAAAATCTCCCGGACGTAATGGACCGACTGTTGGACACGGATGGACACACGGGCCGAAAGAGGACGTGGATCCATTAAAAAGGTGTGGCGGTCGGAGCGTTACAACTTATTTGAACCTAGACATTAGACATAAATGAATAATAAAAAAATAACACGTTTTTAGAATTTCAGATCTTATTAATTACATTTTGTAGAAAATTTGCCACTTAATTTCCCATAACATATTTATTGACATTTATTTGAAGATCCGAATTATGGTTTTTTTGTTCTTTTGATATTATTTTAAAAAATTTCATGTCAATAGAAAAGAATAAAAGCGAACATATAACGATTATCATAAAATTTTACTTTAAAAAAAAAAAAAAAAAAACTATAAGCATAAAAGGGTAAACACAGTCTGTGTTTCAGTTCCACTACTTCAGGAAACCAACAATCTTCCAAATTCAAAAAAGGTTTGAGCAATTTTCCAAGATTTATCTCTTCTTTCTTTAATATAACTCTAAAACAAAAATCCTTGTCGATAATTTTCAATAAAGATTATAATTCACAGAAAACAAGTATGCTTTTTTTTTTTTTTTTTTTGATGAAATTTGTACTTTCTTGTGATTGTGTTATATACTTTGAATTATAATCTCAGATTCCAAAAATGGCGGAAGAATCTTTATTACTATCTCATACAGAAGATTTATCAGCTTCTCCTAATAAATCTTCTTCACTTGTGTCTGAAATATCAAATGCCTCCACGAGACCTTTTGTTCTTGCTTTCACTGTCGGTTCTTGTGGTGCCTTGAGCTTTGGATGCATTGTGAGTTCCTATATTCCATTTTTTGTATAATCCTTAATGTTATTCTAAGTTTGCAGATCAAAATCAAAATTTGGTTAATGCAAGTTTTAATTTTCATCAACCAAATATTTTTCCCTATAGGTTGGATATACGGCTCCTACACAGACCAGTATCATGAAAGACTTGAATCTATCCATAGCTGATGCAAGTTCAATTATTATTTTTTTCCTCTTTCGGTTTATTTCGGTTAACTGTTTCTGGTTCGGTCGGATTTGTTTTTTGGTTCAGCTAATTTTCAATTATTGTTTTTTTTTTGTCGTTTTCTCTTCTTAGTTTTCATTTTTTGGATCGATATTGACGGTGGGGCTAATCGTTGGAGCATTAATTTGTGGGAAATTGGCAGATTTGGTTGGTCGTGTCTACGTAAGTTTCCACTTAAAAAAAAAATAGTTTTCAATTTACAAATTTTAATTATACAATTAAGGATGTAACCATCTTTTTAATTAATCTTGAATCAGACGATATGGATTACAAACATTCTCGTTTTTATCAGCTGGTTAGCTATTGCATTTGCCAAGGTTTGCGATTTTCTGAGTTTTCTTAGTTTATGTTATGTTTCCATAATGAAAAATCAATTAACTCGATAAGTGATTTTAATTCTTAAAATATCTTATTATTCTTTATTTTTTTCTGTATTTTTTCTTTCTTTTTTTTTTTTTTTCTTTCTTCAGGTGACTTATTTTTTCTTTTTTTGTTACAAAGGATGTTTGGCTGCTCGATCTTGGAAGGTTATTGCAAGGGATCTCGGTCGGAATTAGCTCATATTTGGTATGAAAAATGATTATAACTGTAGAGATTTTTAATCAAGAGAAATACCTCAAAATACTCTAAAACAAATTTTAGTTTCAAAGTATCAATATCTTGGAAACTTTCCAAACATACCACAAAATGTTGGTTGAGGAATGTTTCCTAAAAATTAGTCTAATAAGGTTATAAACATCATTTAAGACCTTAACCTAAACTTAAAGGAACCATGTTTCAACCTAAGTTGTGTTATTTTTGGAAATCTAAGATTTTTATGGTAATTTTGAATACAAAGCATAAAATGTGTAGTTTTAATAATTTGATCTTAATTTTAATCCTTTTAGTCAAAAAAAAAAAACTTTTAATCAAATTTCGGTTTCTTATGTTCTCTGATATTTTGGTCTGACAACTTCAATGGTGGGTATGTATTCAACATATTAATTTGCTTGTAAATGTACTTTTTTAGTTTCAGATGTGATCTATACTATTAATTGGGAATCACTAGATATTAAACAACCTTATGAATGGTAAAATATTACATAAGATGCCATTGATTTTTAGTGTTTTCAAATAAATTCATTAAAGGTACAATAGTAATCACAAAATTAATATATTTAAATAAAAAATAAAATTCTTTTACATAATTATTAATTTCCAAAAAAATAAACTAACTTTCTCTCTCTTATTAATTATGGACGAAAATTTGAAATTAATTTTTAAAAAATTGTTTACCAATGATAATTGAAAAACTAAGATTTGATATCCAACTAAGATTTTATCTAAACCAACAATAATAGATTATTCTATATCAAAAATAAAAATAAAAATAATATCATTTTAATTCAAAATTAAAAACACTATCTTTTAAAAAATTTATCAATGGATTAAGATTGAATTTGAAATTTCGTAAGAAAATTAAATACAAATATTTTAAGATTCAGTTTTGTGATAATATTTTCACAAATTTTGAAATATAAAACGAAATTTTATTTCACAATTTCTAAAAACGATATTAGATATTAACAAATATTTATATTTACTATGAAATAAACTCAAATAATAATAAATTTAAAGTAATTATAATTATGGCCTTCGTTTAGAACAAGTTTCAGAAATATCTAAACAATTGATTATACATATTAATTTCAAAATATTTTGCGTTTTATTTTTTCTTTTTCAACCGGATATTCTTTAAATAAATCCCTAATATATTGCACACAGTTTTGGAAATAATGTAAACTAATTATATATTTTTCATTCAAATAAAATTATGCAGCAATAGCATATCCCTTTTTGAGATGTATCTCAAATTTTTATTTTTAGTCCAAAATCAAATCAATTATGATTAAACAATGAAAAGAAGAATATGCAAAATTTAGCTAGGGAAAGAAAAACTAATAAATTTGTTAAGATATATTTGTAACTTTAACAGCATACATATTAATCAGCAAAACTCACAATATGTATTGTATGGTGTTTAACGGTAAGCAAACAAGAATTTGGAACATGATTTTAATGGAACAAAATGAGAATAGGAATTACGAGACGAGATGGGAGGGGAACATAAATTAAAAATCAAATTAAATACCCCACTGGCATGAGTTCGGGTTATGAGCACTATATAAAATAAATTTGTTTACACACAACCTTGTACGTACATTTTCAGTTACACATATTCTATTTATGACGGATACGAGACCGTCATATTTTTATTTCACGTATATGAGACGGGTTATGGGACAAAGAATTTATGACAAATACAGGACGAGATAGGTTCCCTGTTCCAAAATAGTTACACCTAGCTAATATACATGAAATAACCAAACTAAAACTAAATCTATATCCTATTTAACGCATGTAATCAAAATTTTAGAAATATTTTGATTAGTTTAGAAAATAAAAACGTAACATCATTTAACTTTTGCAACTAAATTATAACTTAATTTTATCTTAAATATAATTTCGCACGTACGTGTAGGTCCGGATCTTAAAATATAACTACGTACTAACGCAACTGAATTTCGTTCATTACTCTAACTTTACAATATTTATACTATTATGAAGTTCACTAATACAACAAAATATTTTATATTCTTAAAATCTATATAACAATTTTATAATAATATCTCTGCACGTACGTGTAGAACCAGACCTAATACACTAAAATATATATCATAGAAACAACAAATAATCTATATTAAATTAAAATTTGTTAGAAATTTTTTTAAAATATAAAATCCCGCACGTACGTGCGGGTCAGGATCTAGTAATTTGGTAAATTCAAAATGTTCTATAAACTTTGAGATTTGAATTTATTGAAAATGAGATTTCAAATTAGATTATGGTAATGATTTATCACAGGGACCTATTTACATTAGCGAGTTAGCACCAAGAAACTTGCGAGGAGCTGCTTCTTCCTTGATGCAGGTAAATTAAGAGAAGCAGAATCCTTGAAAACTATTATAAAATGTAACATACTTTCCTAAATATAAGTTTGAATGTTCTACAGTTATTCGTCGGTGTTGGTATATCGGTCTTTTATGCACTTGGAACAGTCCTTGCTTGGCGCAATTTAGCCATTTTAGGTAGGTGAAGGAGATTGATTCATATCGATCAAACATTCTTGTTTCCTTCGAAGAAAAAAATATTGTACTAATGATTCTGTGTTTCGTCTTTGAACAGGATCTATACCTTCTCTAGTGGTTCTGCCTCTTCTTTTCTTCGTCCCCGAATCTCCTAGATGGCTAGTAAGCACTTGTTTATATTAGCCATTTTCATTAATTTGTTTGGTCAAAATACATTCGCATTTACGCTTATGTTTTACATGTTAAGTTTCATGGAATTTCATATTGTCCCTTATATACTACTTTAGGTCCCGTTACTTCACATGTAAGGATCTTAACATTGCATTTTAAACTCTTGGTCTTACATTCTAAGAAAACACATATTATTTTTAACAAATATCATTTCATTCATCTTCCTCTCTAAAGGAGGCATCATATCTTACTGTTTTACCTTCTAAGAAAACATTATTTTAGTGTTTGTACCAATTGTATTTTGAAAAATATAAAAATCAAAGCTGACAAGACTTGAACCTTACTGAACTATGATGGTCATCTAAAATCGTGGTTACAAATGTAATCGATTTAAAACAATCGGGACCTGTTTCTTTAGCGTAAAGGCTAGCTTATCAGTGATATGATCATTGATGAAATTTGTTTGAAGGCTAAAGTTGGGAGGGAAAAGGAGGTTGAGGGGGTTTTATTAAGCTTGCGAGGAGCAAAATCTGATGTATCGGATGAAGCAGCAGCGATATTAGTAAGGATATATAAATCTATATGCATTACAATAGTCATATGATCTATATATATATTTTACATAAATTTCCCAACATTTTGATGATCATCAGGAATACACAAAACATGTTGAACAACAAGACGTCGATAGCCGTGGTTTCTTCAAGTTGTTCCAGCGAAAATACGCGTTACCACTTACTGTAAGTAACTTCAAAAAGAGGTAACAAATTGAAATTGAAAACATTATTGTCTTTGCATTTTCTTGATTATTTAACCCAATGTTTTACACAGATTGGAGTTGTTCTTATATCTGTGCCTCAGCTTGGAGGTCTTAATGGTTATACTTTTTACACTGATACCATTTTCACCTCTACCGGTAAATAAAAACCTCAATTCTTCTTCTTTGATATATATATATATTGCTTCATCAAACGGTCAATAATTAACTGATTGATGATCAGGTGTATCAAGTGACGTTGGATTCATATTGACATCTATTGTTCAGGTTCTACTGATATAAGATCATAAACATGACTACAATTCATAAGTTTCTTTTTTCGTTTAACATCGATCATCATTCTTTAACGGATCATTTTCAAACACATTTTTGTAGATGTTTGGAGGCATTTTAGGTGTTTTGCTTATAGATATATCCGGAAGACGTTCTCTTCTACTGGTAAACAAAATTTAAAACTCGAAAACCGAAAGTGTAAATAACCGAATCGATAGGTTATTTTGATAAGATTTTTTTTTAAGACGACTAAAAAGATTTTTTTTGGGTGAGTGTAGGTTTCTCAAGCTGGAATGTTCTTGGGTTGTCTTGCAACAGCCATTTCATTCTTCTTGCAGGCATGCTTACTAATCTATCTACTTTTCTAAACCGGTGGGTTGGTTTCAATTTTGAAAAACCGGGATGTAATCTTTTTGGTTTTCTTACTCTTTACAGAAGAACAATTGCTGGGAAAAAGGAACACCAATATTGGCTCTCATTAGTGTTATGGTAATTAATACTATCATCACAAAAATAGTTTTATTCAAAAGACCATTACCCTAGCCTTTAAACAATGCCAAACTATATAAAATTGTGTTTTGTGTATTTCTCATATTAGGTGTATTTTGGATCATACGGATTAGGCATGGGACCGATACCATGGATCATAGCATCAGAGGTAAATTAAACAAAAAAAATGTAAAATCAACAACAATATGTAAATGTTAATTCGTTATAAATTGATAATTCATGTTTTTTTTTTTTTACCATTATCTTTTAGATTTACCCAGTAGACGTGAAAGGAGCAGCAGGAACAGTGTGTAACTTGACCACGTCTATAAGCTCATGGCTCGTTACTTACTCTTTCAATTTCTTGCTTCAATGGAGTTCCACAGGTAATTAATCTTTAATACTTAAAACTATTAAAAATAAATGAACTTCTTCATGAACTGGTAAAATAAATATATTGCAGGAACATTTATGATGTTTGCCACTGTGATGGGCCTTGGATTTGTGTTCACAGCCAAGCTTGTTCCAGAGACCAAAGGCAAATCTTTAGAGGAAATTCAGTCTGTGTTTACTGATTCTCCTCCTGAAGATTCTACAGTTTTCTAAGAGAGAAAATAAAATTACCTTCAAACTTTAACCTTAGATCTCTTTATATTTCATGTTTTTGTCCTTTTTTGCATTGTTTTTTTTTACGATTGGGCATTGGCCCATATATAATTATTAAATAGGACCCATGAAAGGGATCTCCGGTTCAACCGTAGTTTGGTTCATTAAGGCATATATTATCCATATTTATATGTTTCGAATATACAAACTGATAACCATAATATAATAAAAGTAACAAAATCCTAATTATTTGCGAAACAAAAAATATATACAAATTAAAATTAATCGAATTGATGGAAATGAGATCTTATTATGTGCAACAGTGCAAGACGTGGAATGCTTGTTTACACATGTCTCCATCTTTTACCTAAGCGCATTTACTTGCATTTTAGATTTGTCATGTTTAAAATGAGTAAAAATCCAGAACAACAAATAAAAATATAGATGATTTTCAGAAGTTGGTAAACAAACTTCCACGATCTAAGCGAATCCAAGACGATAGATATAAGGGAATATGGTTATTTTCTTTAAAATAAAATATAAATATTATAATTAAATATATTATTTTGGCTAATTTATGGTGTTAGCACTTAATGCTAATTTTTCTTTTTATTTTTAGTGAAACTGATATTCTATGCCCACGAGAAAGAAACAAAAGCAAACACAATTTGTGTTTAGTTTTCAGTTCCGCATTTCTTGCTTCACGAGACGAGACCAACGATTCTACAAACTCAAAGAGGTTTCAAGATTTATCTCTTCATTAACAAACAAAAACTAACTTTTCGATCTCTACTTCTCTAATCTCATTCATAGAAAACAAAGTTCAAGACAGTATTTAGAACTGAAGCAATTTTGATTTCTGAAAAATGGCAGAAGAAGGTTTCTTATTACCAGCTTCTCCTAATGAATCTTCTTCTTCTTCTTTTTCTTCACTTGTGTCTGAAATATCAAATGCATGCACGAGACCTTTTGTTCTTGCTTTCACTGTCGGTTCTTGCGGCGCCTTTGCCTTTGGATGCATTGTGAGTTCCTTAATTCTTTTAATTTTCGGATCTTTTGCGTTCTTGCATGTTTAATTTTATTAACCCAAACTAAAAGTTACTATTTAATTTTTTTTTTTCACAGATCGGATATTCGGCTCCGACACAGACCAGTATCATGAAAGACTTGAATCTCTCCATAGCTGATGCAAGTTCAATCAATTTTTTTCTGTTTTCTATTTCGGTTTATTCCGGTTAATTTCTGGTTCGATATGATTTGGTTTATTTCTCAGTATTCACTATTTGGGTCGATATTGACGGTGGGGTTAATCCTTGGAGCATTAATCTGTGGGAAGTTAACAGATTTAGTTGGTCGTGTCAAAGTAAGATGAATAATTAGTTTTTAATTCCTTCTATTAACGAACTGAATTTAAACTATATAATTATTTATGGTTATTAATCATCATTATGTGATTCTCTTTCGAACCAGACTATATGGATCACAAACATACTCTTCTTAATCGGTTGGTTCGCTATCGCATTTGCCAAGGTTTGTGATTTTCTGAGTTCTTTGTATATTGGTTTAAACTATAAATAATGAAATGCCGTTGTTTAAGGTCGATAAATTGTTCTAATTCCTTCTTGTATCTTGTTACTAATTTTGTTCTTTAACTTTTGCTTACAAAGGGTGTTTGGCTGCTTGATCTTGGAAGGTTACTGCAAGGGATCTCGATCGGCATTAGCGTATATTTGGTATGAGTGAAATAGTGAAGAGATGTTTGATATTTAACTTTTCTTATTTATGGTCTGAATTTTGGATTTAGAGGTAGATAGGTGGGTATATATATAGTAATGTAGATTGAACATATTTGATATTTTGTAAGTTGTGTAAGTTTAAGTTTTAGGTTAATATATGTATTGATCTGGTCAATTCAAAATGTTTTGGCAACTTTTAGGACTTATTGAAAATGAGATTAAAATACTGAGTTCTTTTTGGTAACAAATCTTAGGATCTAATGATTATTAATCACAGGGACCGGTTTACATCACCGAGATAGCACCAAGAAACTTGCGAGGAGCTGCTTCTTCCTTCTCGCAGGTAAATTAAGAGAACCAAAATCTTGGAAACTAGTATAAGAAGTTATTATATGTTCCTACAATACAAGTTTTGAATGTTCAACAGTTATTCGCCGGTGTTGGTATATCGGTCTTTTATGCACTTGGAACCGTCGTCACATGGCGCAATTTAGCAATTTTGGGTATGTAAAAATGACAGATTCTTATCAAATGCACAAAACAAACTTTCTCATTTCATTCGAAATACAAGAAAATGTACTAATGGTCTCATGTTTTGTATCTGACAGGATCTATACCTTCTCTAATGGTTATGCCTCTTCTTTTCTTCATCCCCGAATCTCCTAGATGGCTAGTAAGCATTTGGTTCTTCAATATGTTTGCGTTTACGATTATGTTTTCTATTGTTAGATTATTGTTTTTACTTCCAAAGTAAATTTTTTGTGTTTGTTTTTTTTTGAATATCCTTTGGATAGTATAAAACCAAAATAAACCAAGATGAAATTTGTTTGTAGGCTAAAGTAGGAAGGGAAAAGGAAGTTGAAGCAGTTTTGTTAAGCCTACGAGGAGCAAAATCTGATGTAACAGATGAAACAGCAGAGATATTAGTAAGGATCTAATCCATAGATCATATATATCTTTTTTTTATTACATAAATTTCCCAACAATTTGATGCTGATCAGGAATATACAGAGCATGTTAAACAACAACAAGATGTCGATGGTGGTTTCTTCACGCTATTTCAGCGAAAATATGCGTTCTCACTTACTGTAAGTCTGCGAGTAACTCTTCAAAAGCATTATTGTTTTTGCATTTTCTTGATTTTTTTTTCAATTGATTTATACAGATTGGAGTTGTTCTTATAGCCTTGCCTCAGCTTGGAGGTCTTAACGGCTATTCTTTTTACACCGACTCCATTTTCACCTCTACCGGTATATATCCTTCTTCTTCCTGTTTTTCTTTATTTTATTTACCATAATGATGCTTTATTAAATGGTCCTTAAGGATGATCTGATTATCCAGGTGTATCGAGTGACTTCGGATTCATATCGACATCTGTTGTTCAGGTTATACTAATATAAGATCATACAGCATGATTACATATAATTCCGATATTTTCGTATAATATTCGATACACTTTTTTTACCAATCATATGAAAACACATTCTTGTAGATGTTTGGAGGCATTTTAGGTACTGTGCTTGTTGATGTATCTGGAAGACGTACGCTCCTTTTGGTAAAACAAAATCTAAAACTCGTATCCGAAATTGATAGGTTAATTTGTTTAGTTTTCGAACCAAGTTTAGGAACTTTTTTTTGAGTGATTTGTAGGTTTCCCAAGCTGGAATGTTCTTGGGTTGTCTTGCCACAGCCATTTCATTCTTCTTGAAGGCATGCTTACTATTCCATCTACTCCACTAAACCGGAACTTAATTTTAATTTTTTTAAACTGGACCGTAAAATGTCAGGTTGTTTCGTTCTGCAGGAGAATCATTGCTGGGAAACAGGAACACCAGTCTTGGCTCTCATTAGTGTTATGGTAATTAATAAGCGTTTTAGGATTTAGAATTTAAAAGTTTGTTTAGATTTTAATTTTTAGACTATTTAAATTTGAAATCTAAAATAATTTTCTGATTTGATATAGAAATTTAAGGAATTTTCATAATTTTCCGTAACAGTATTTTGCGTGTTTAATATATTAGGTGTATTTTGGATCATACGGATCTGGTATGGGATCAATACCATGGATCATAGCATCAGAGGTAAATATTCAAAATAGGTATAAAAATAGATCACAGACATCTAAAAATGTAAAATTCATTAGACAATTTATGTTTTATTTTCCTTCCTAGATTTATCCAGTAGATGTGAAGGGAGCAGCAGGAACAATGTGTAACTTGGTCAGCTCTATAAGCTCATGGCTCGTTGCTTATTCCTTCAGTTTCTTGCTTCAATGGAGCTCCACAGGTAAATCTTTAATAGTACTTTTAGGTAAAATAAATTAAATGAATATAAGTTGACAAAAAAATTGATCTTTTTACAATTTCTGAAGTTTGAAAATAAAGTTGTTAACCAAAAGGTTTGATTGCAGGAACATTTCTGATGTTTGCCACAGTGGCTGGCCTTGGATTTGTCTTCATAGCCAAGCTTGTTCCAGAGACCAAAGGCAAATCTCTAGAAGAGATTCAATCTCTTTTCACTGATTCTCCTCAAGATTCTACAATTTTATGAAATCCCACAAAATTGTATAAAAAGTATGTAAACAAAAAAAGTTTATTAACAATATTATTTATGTAAACATTATTGTTTTCATGTTTTTGGCAAGAGTTAAAATATTAACAAACACCTTTCACAAGATTCACATGAAACTATCAAAACATTACAGTAATACAAAGTTTTACAGACTGAAACTAGTAAAATACTCAGAAGAAAAGCTTTATTGAGAAGCACAAAGACCACCTCTTTTACTGTTCTGTAATTGTGAGTTTTGTATTAACCCACTGATCCTTCAAGCTTGATGCTCATAAGCTGGTTAACTTCAGCTCCAAATTCATCAGGTAGCTTGTTGAAAACATCTCTGCAGAAACCAGAGATCATCGCTGCTAATGCTCTCTCGTGATCGATTCCTCTCTGCTGGAAATAGAAAAGCTGGTCTTCTCCAATCTTTGAGGTACTCGCTTCGTGCTCTACTTTCGCCGATGGATTCTTTACCTGTTATTGTTTCAGACCCACCACAAAACAAAAGTTTACAGATTTAAGAACTTGAATCGAGGTGTTGTATTTATGGGAAGTCAATCAAGAAAGGGCAAAACAAATTACAGCATAATCATAGCTTATAATAAAGATTGGATCATAGGCAATTTACCTGGATGTAAGGATAGGTATTAGCAGCTGCTTTGTCCCCGATAAGCATTGAGTCGCAAGTCGATGTATTTTTAGCATTCTCAGCTTTGGATTGTACCTGAACAAGACCACGGTAACAATTTCTCGAATGCCCAGCTGAAATTCCCTTTGAAATGATTCTACTTTTCGTATTCTTTCCTTTGTGAATCATCTTGGTCCCTGTATCTGCTTGCTGATAGTTATTAGTCAAAGCCACAGAGTAAAACTCGCCAACAGAATCATCACCTTCTAAAACCACGCTTGGATACTTCCAAGTTATCGCGGACCCTGTCTCAACCTGAGTCCATGAGATTTTGGAACGATCCCCAGCGCAAAGACCACGCTTGGTGACAAAATTGTAAATCCCACCTTTACCTTGTTCATCCCCTGCATACCAATTCTGCACCGTAGAGTACTTGATCTCAGCTCCTTTCCCGCAATAGAGCTCAACAACAGCAGCGTGAAGCTGATTCGTGTCATAAGAAGGAGCAGTACACCCTTCTAAATACTCAACAAAACTCCCTTCCTCTGCAACAATCAAAGTCCTCTCGAACTGACCAGTCTCCATCGCGTTAATCCGGAAATAAGTCGAAATAGGCATCGGGCATCTAGTGTTCTTCGGTATATAACAGAAAGACCCATCGCTAAAAACCGCAGAATTCAAAGATGCGTAGTAATTATCATCACTAGGCACAACTCTTCCTAAATACTTCTTAATCAAATCCGGATACTCCCTAATAGCTTCCGATATGGAACAGAAGATCACACCAGACTTCTCTAGAGTCTTCCTATGAGTAGTAGCTATCGAAACACTATCGAGAACCGCATCAACAGCAACATTAGCCAAACGTTTCTGCTCTGTTAAAGGAACACCTAACTTATCGAAATACTCAAGAAGCTGAGGATCAGCTTCATCTAAACTATTCAAAGTTGGTTTCTTTTTAGGAGCAGAGTAATAACACATATCCTGGAAATTAATCGAAGGATATCTATTATCTGACCATTTAGGTTCTTCCAATTTCAAAAACTTAGCATAAGCTTTGAACCTAAACTCAAGCATCCAATCTGGTTCCTCTTTCAATTTCGAAATCAAACGAATCGTTTCTTCAGATAAACCTTTAGGAATTGTGAAGGAATCGATATCTTCAACGAATCCGTATTTCTTATCGTAATCAAGATTCTGGAAATACTGTTGAAGTTTATCAGTGGAACTAACAGTTGATGTACCTGATGATTCAGCTCCGATGGGACGAGAATCGATTCCAACAACATCGGCGGCTCTGACTTTGAAAACGGGTCTCGTTGGATTTAGGGATTTGGGAGATGGGAATTTCAAGGATTCGGGTTTTGGGTGAAACCCTTTTGGGGATTTTGAGGAATCGGAAGTGGGTTGTGGAGAGAAGCAGGAGATACCGTTTGCGAGAAGAGACGCCATTGTTGTTGTGGCTCTAAGGAGAAGTAGAAGGAGATTGTTTTTTTTTTTTGTGGAGTCGTGTGTTGGAAAAAAAACCAAGGATAGGAAAAAAGGATGAAATGTTGATATTTATGGAATTTGTTTTTTCTTTAAAAAGTGAGAAAAAAATGATTAATTTTCTTGGCCGTAGATTTACGATAGTCTCGTGTCAACCACGGGACCTTTTTACTTGGATCACACTAGTTCTCATCAGCTCAAATATAAACCACATGCATTTTCCACTAACTAATTATTTAACGTTTTTATAGAAAAAAACAGTGTTCTCAAAAGCCGTCTACGCGGTCGCCTAGGCCTCGACTAGTCGCCTAAAATTACATAGATTTTATTTAATATATATTTTTATTTTCAATTAGAGTTTTATTTATATATATATCGTTATAAATATTCATATATTGTTTAATATAAATATAAATTTATGTTTTATCTAGTTTTTGTTTATGATTTCATAATTTTTAGTATTATATAGATATTTTATATAACTTTTATATATAATATTATATTTATAATGTTTTATGTTATAAACGTATAAACCGCCTTAAAATCGTCTAGGCCCCGATTAAGCGTTCTAGGCGCTAAGTACTAGGCACTGGGTCACCGCCCGCTTAGCGTCTAGCGCTTTCTTAAACACTGGAAAAAAGTCGATATTTTTTTGTCTATGATAATCTCCTATTCTCCTTTGTATACTTAACAATATAATTTGGTTTTATTTCAGTGCGTTATTATTGTATTTTTTGGTTTTGTTTATTTTATAAAACTATTCGTGATTTCATTTAATTATAGACCGTGTTCGTTAGATTTTAAATTTTCGTTTTTGGATAATATAAATGATTTGTTCTCTATTTCAAAACTTAAGTTTTGGGGATATTTATTATTACCGGTTGGTTTAGTTTTTGGAAATTTTCAGTTTTCAAAATAATTTTGGTTCGATTATTGTTTAAATATTTTATTTATTATTTAATTATTTTATTTCTATTGGGTTTAATATTATTTTCAGTTAGGCATTTTTGTTTTATCTTTTTACACCCCTATAAATGATTTTTTTTTTCTAATTACGAATTATGTGAAATTAGAGGAGAAGAAAGAAAAAAAAAAAACACTGGAAGTCTGGAACTATGAACATTTAAGGGCCAAGTTAAAAGCCCATTTTTAAATACCTCAGCCCAAATCCAGAACGCCAAAACGAAGAAGAAAGAAAAAACAACTCCCAAGTCACGGCGATTCTCTGTCATCTCCCCCAACACTTTCCTCTACGTCGCCGGAGAAATCCTGTCGACGGGTAAGTCTCTTCTTTAAAGCTTTTGTTCTGGAGATCTCGTAGGTGTCTTCTGTGATGCAAATTTCACCTCTTTATTAAGAAATATTGATAAAGGCAAGTTTTTTACCCTGAGAAATCGTCTTTGTTATCTTCGCTTCCTCTCTTAAATTGATTAACGAACTCTACAATGATAATTGATTTTGCTGAAATTCAACTGTTTTTTAACAATATACCCTTGTTGAGAATCGTGAGTGATAGTTTATGTATTGAGTACCAAACTTGTGCCATTTGGATCTTTGAGTTCCTCTATGAAAGTTATATACTTGTTGTTCCTGTTCTTGTATTTCTAAGGTTTTGGAAGATGGATATAATCTCACAGTTGCAAGAGCAAGTGAATACGATTGCTGCTATCACTTTCAATGCTTTTGGGACACTCCAAAGGGATGCACCTCCTGTCCAGCTTTCACCTAATTATCCTGAACCACCCGCTACAACTACGGCTGTTGATGACGCTACGCCTTTTCCTGAGCAACCTAAGCAGCTCAGTGCCGGTTTAGTTAAGGCTGCTAAACAGTTTGATGCTTTGGTTGCAGCTCTTCCTTTGTCAGAAGGAGGTGAAGAAGCTCAGCTCAAAAGAATCGCTCAACTCCAGGTAAACATTGATCTTTCGATTTCTTGAATCCGGTACTTCTATTCATCTAACCGCTGTGCTCTGTTTTTTTTCTTCAGGTGGAAAATGATCTTGTTGGTCAAGAACTCCAAAAGCAACTAGAGGCTGCAGGTAAACTCTCCTGGCCAACAACTTTACTTTTCAATTTCCACTTCGTCTTTTTAGGGTCTCACTTCATTGTCAGTTTGTCTATCTGTAACTAGAGCAGATCCATTATGCACTTCAAATTTCAATGTGTATACTTTCTTGTTGCTACACGTTCGATTTAGTGGTTCTAGAATTTGGATTTTTCGTTCTCCCTTGCAACTGCCTCTGACAATTGAGCTGATGTAAATTGGTGCGACCTTGTTTGTGACAGAGAAGGAGCTAAAGCAAGTCCAAGAGCTATTTGGACAAGCTGCAGACAGTTGCCTGAACATGAAGAAACCTGAATGAAATGCTTTTTTATCTTGTGTCAAGCTGATTAAGAAAGTATATGATTTGGTTCAGAAACAGTCATCTTTTAGGTTCAGAAGGAATATCAATTCTGATATGGTTCACCAAAAAATTGTTGCAGAAGCAATTAAAAGAATGTCAGTTAGCTCACAACAACAAAACCATTATTTTAACCTTACACTTCTTTCTATCTGTCTAATTAGTAATTACAATCTCATAGAATCCACCTTATCATTCTAAACATTACAGGGCCGTCATGATTGACCCACCATGTCTGGTCTTCCGGTCAGGGTTGGTCAGATTAATATGGTCTCGGGTATCTGTCACATTCAATCCAAAGTTGCTGAAAAGAAATGACCAGTTCATAACTTGGGTCCAAAACCGGAACTTGACTTGACTTGGGAAACATGCAGATCTTAGTAGTCCGACCAGTCTGGTGCAACAGTAGAGACAAGGTTTAATCATTCCTCAGCTGGTTAGTCCTAACTCCTCATCCTTTCCCATCTCACCTATCAAGACTTGTGCAGAGTCCAGCATTCTTTTGTCTGCGTGTATGAAGCTTTAGGATGAAAAGAAAACTTTAGCCGGTCAAGTAAGAATGGAATCCGAGTTCTGTACAAAATCATTACTTTCTTGATGAAACAATCGTTTTCTTTTTTGGTTTCTTCTTGTTGGGTGCTTGAGAAAATGCAGACTGACTTTCTTCGATGATATGTTGTACATCTTTATCATCTTTTGGAATTTTTGATACCAATGCCTTGGCACCTTCCGAATCCCCTGCAGCTAGTAGAACCTGATACATCCTGCCAAACCATAAACCAGAACCAATGATATACCGGAAACCTTGAAACCTCTTGATCTCATGGAAACTGATGATCTAATTATCAGAATAAACTGCATTCTCTCAAAACTGATTCAACCCGTAAACCAAAACGCTAGTCATAAACTTGGAACTCTCTTTGTGCCAATGATAGTACAAGATTTATTTTGTATTCTTTCATTTCAACACATATCTTCTCTTATTGTTCCTTAAGTCTATAGTTCTTGAGCAAAGAAACCAATTACTAATCCATAAGGAGAAAAGAGTGGCTTACCTCAGAAAGCTTAGGACGTTGCAAGGGAGTGCTGCAGATTGGTACTCTTTCCACACCAATAGACCGTGCTCCAGGTCCTTGGCATTAACACATGCATGTAAGAGAAAATCTAGACATTTTCTTGAAGGAACAAACCCAAGCTCATCTTTCATAAATCTTAGCAAATCCATTCCTAGCTGCACTTTGGTTGGCTCTGTCTCTGCGATTGCCCAAAACACCTGATTCAAAACAGCAAATCACTGAGAGGCTTAAAGCACTGAAGGTTAATTCAGTAAAAGAGAAGATAGCTACTAGCTACAGACTCAACTTGATCGCTGTTCTAATTAAATGTTCTTGCTTAGTGCTTTACTACAGACTTCTTCATTGAGAGATCCCACAATGATCCAAGAACATGGAATGTGAACGTTGCACATACTCGGAGACATCTCAAGGTTATCTTTGATGACTAAATGAACAAAGTTGCCAGAAAGAAGCCCATGAGAGAAACAAAATCAAACCTCGTCAAAATGAGTTTCCACAGGCAAGTCTTTCTTTAACAACCGGATCTTGTTCTGTTTCAGCAAATCAACAATATTCCTATACAACAAAAAGAGCAAATCAAGAATGAGACATTTTCAACAATTGGGTAAAAGAGAACTAATTCTAGAGCATGGGTGATTTACTCTACCTCGACTTTCTATTGCGGACAGCGAACAAGATCATTCTGAAGAAACCATCTATCCAACTAGTATCATCTTGTAGGTCATCAGCCAGTTGAACTAGCGTACTTAACTCTCCATTTGAATCAGAGTATTCCTACAGAGATAATCATTTTACTGATAATCAACCAATTGATATATGATATTATGAAAAAGTGTGATTGAAAGTGCATACTTACTATAAGAGATATAATCGATTTCGGGTCTACGTGGCATTCAGCTTTCCTCATTTCTTCATATATATGTAAGGCATCTGCCCATTTTCCACGTGATGCAAGAGCCGAAATAAGCACACTTTTCAGTTCATTTTGGTTTATAGCCGGAACATCTGGATCTACGAGCACCTATGGTAGAATAAAAATTTGAGCTCTTACTCTAATTACGGAAATGTATACCACTTTTGCGAACTTACAAGAAAATAAAGAGTATGCGTGCCTACCTGTTTCGCCTTCTCAAACTTCCCAGATGCTGCATATGCATCTATCAGGGACATGTAAATTCGCTTAGTAGCTTGAACTCCTGCTTGCTTCATCTCGTCGTAGTACTTGTAAAGGCACCAAGACATTTTTCACTCAACACATAGAGAAAAAGAGAGAGTAGACATTTTGTAGTGATGTTTACACGACTCCAAGTTAAGAAGAACAAGTTGACAAAAGATCTAAAGAACAGAAAATTCTGAAATTTACCTTAGTAATAGCGTCCTCCCGGTTACAGTTGTTTATTAGATAACCAAAAGTTATGGAATCAGGTTTAACGCCAGCTTCCTTCATTTGCTTGACGACCATTAACGCCCTACACACATTTTTCTTCAAAAACATACAAAAACCATCAGCTGAAAACGATTTAAGAGACATTGGGAGCTAACAGAGACATGGACAATCTATCAGGTCAGAATTTGCAAACATGAAATGGGAGCTTAAGATATTACCTCCCTAAAATATCCAGCCAATATACAATTGAACATGCTAGAGTTCGGTTCCAAATTGAAGTTTTTTAAATTACCAAGCATATTATATGCACCTTCAAACTGCACATAAAACCAAAGATTTAGAGCAAAATTTTGTGTTCAGAGAAACAAGCGAAGCAGCAACTGTAAGAAACAGCACCGACATGTCTTCATTTCTAATATATGGTTTGAGGATATAATGAAGCTGAAATTAGAAGAAAGAAAGTTACATCTTTGATTCTTGTGCACAAACGTATAATGCTCCGGAAGTTCTCAGTATTTGGTTTCACACTTTTAGTGCACATAATTGAATGGATTCTTCGCACCTGAAACATATATGAGTAGAGTTCAATTGTATATTTGTCTGGATATAGATTCAAGCTAAATGAGAATGCGTACCAAATCAAACTCAAGAACTTCATCAATGGCATGTAACAATGAATGTAGGATATCTGCGGATATTATCAGACCTGCTTCACCCATTTTTTCAACTATCTCAAGAGCAGTGACTACCTACAGCACGGAGAGAATAATCATTAGAGAGAGCACCCAAAATAAAGCCAACTATTATAAAACAAGCATAACAAATACCTCATTCGAGTCACAGCTATACTTAACAAGCTTTTCGTACGATGTAGATGAAGGCATAACATCAAGTTCTTCATGCATCTTGTTAAATTTCAAGATGGTATCCTCAACCTTTAATTGTAGAAAACCAGTAAAACATGGACAATTAGGAGGCATCCGTTATCGAAGCAAAGACTTAAAACACTAAAATGCGGCTAATATTCATGAGAAGTCCTTACCGTCGGATTTGGGGTGCAAGTAGAATAGATAGAGATGAGTTCAGAAACGTTCGTCACTCCTTCATCTGCGCATGTTAATGAAAAACATATTACACATGCTATAACAATGATTTTCTAGAGGCATAAACATGTTACATCAAGAGAATTTCTTGGTTTATGTCAAATGCATCCTTACCACTTTCTCTTAGCTCCCAAAGGAACTTCCCCGCAACAGAATCCAATGAAAACCTCCCAAGGTACTCAAATATGTTTGTCCATAGGTCCGACGATTGAACGTTTGTTATGTCTACAATCCCTAAGAGCCTCTCAAGATGGTACGTTTGGTCCTTTTTACATAGTGCAAGCAGATAATTTTCTGTTTTTTTGAGGGATCAAAAAGGTTACATTTTGCAGAGTAAGAGAGAGCCAAAAAACAACAGAACCCCCAAAACTGAATATTGCGTACCACAAAAAAAAAAGAAAAAAAAAAGAATATTGCGTACCTTGTAAGATTGATAAGCTTTCCCTATTATCACCATCAATTGTATCACAAAGCTCCTCAATCTTCTCTCCATCACCAAGTTGGATCCAAAGAAGCATTTCATAGTAACCAAGTCTCTCAACCGAACCAGGACTGGCCTCCCTAATCACATCCTTAAAACTTTGGAACTCGTCTACCATATCCATATCAATTAAATAACCAAGAATAGGACCATAAACTCTTTCTTCAATCAAGAATCCGCGATCTCTCATAGATTTCAAAAGCTCAAAAGCCTTCTCAATGTGGCCAAGAGCATAATCTAAATCATTGCTTTTCTCCGCATGCTCCAAGTAAACTCCAATCATCGCATTATATTCCGTTACACTCATCTCTTTCGCTACCCTATCAAAAGCACCAAACATAGCCTCAGTGCCTAATTTCTGAGCAGAGTCTCTAAATATCTTTGCGAAACGCCGTGACAACCCGTTCTTCTTGTAAACACGTCTCTCCTTCCTTTCGGGAGACAACTCTTTCGATCTTAACGAAATATCATAAGGGATCTTAGGGGTAAAACTTGGTATCTTCAAAACCAAGTTCTTCTCCAAAGAGCTTTTCTCCGATGTTGTTACTAAAATGTGATTGACATGAGAGTTTATTGAAGAAGGAACTTACTTATAAAGAGAAAACAGATAACAAACACATACCATGTAACAAATTCGATACTCGATCCTGTAACGGTGCTTCCTCAAGATCTACACACAATTGCATAAAATCAAATCGAAGTCTAAAGATTACCCATATACACAAAAATATCAAATTTACAACGAATTCTTTCTCAAGATCACATTTTTCGAAATTTTTCCAATCTGAAAATACCTGACGAAGAGTATTTGGAACAGAGGAGATCTTTAACAGCTTGAGAAGTTCCGGCGATGTCTTTGTTGCCGGAAGCAATTGAAGATTCGCCGGTGTTTCTAATACGGGATTTGAAGACTGAGCTTAATAAGCTTTTGTTAGCCTTTGAGACAACCATGTTCGAATCTCAAGTGATATCGAGAAGAAGAAGAGAGAAAGTGGAAGGTTTATGCAAACCCAGAACTAAAACCCCTACTGGGTTGTTATGTTCCAATTCTAAACCTTAGGGGTGATAATTTAATTAACTATATAAATCAGGGGTAATAAAGTAAATTATCAAGATTAGATGAAGAAGATGAAGAAGAATTGTCAAAATTTTGATTTTGTCTTTGGGATTTATCTCACTGTTGAATCCAATTCAAAGATTATAACTTTATGAACATCAATTCAAAGATTCTCTTTTTATCATTCACGCATCTTCTTCTTCTTCTTCTATCATCAATCGTTGAATCCGATTCGATTTGCCTCTCTTCCGGCTTAGCTTCTACGGTGGCAATGGCGGCTCCGGGATCGGTTCAGAAAGGAGATGAAGAGTGGCGTGCGATTCTTTCACCTGAACAGTTTAGGATTCTTCGTCAAAAGGGCACTGAGTAAGTTTTATTCAGCGATTTTATGGTTCAATTTTGCTTTAAAAGTTGACCAAATTTGGGAATTTGGATCATTAGGAATTTAGGATAGTGCCCTCTTCATCGCTTCGATTAGCTATCTGGTTTTTTAGAATCTAGGGTTTAATTTCTGTATGAATTGACATAATTTATGATTCTAGAGATAAAGATTTCAACTTTTATGTGAAACATATCTTCTTCTCATTCTAAGACTAGTACTCCATCATTAGAGTGTGGCTGGAATCAAGTTTCAAACATAAGATACGACGATGCTCTGATTTAAGATTATATTCTTGTTGAGCAATATGTTAAAGATTATATCTTTTCTAAGTGTGCTTCCATCATAGGATTCATGGAATTTGTTTGCTATTGATGTTGAACAATTGGGATAAACTCAGTTGTTGTAGTTCTTCAAAGAATACCATCTTTTCTTAAGATTCTAGATGAGAGCTTGTGATAACAGATATGATCTGAGTCTCTTTTAGTTTCAATGTGTATGTTGAGAGCACGACTTTAGAACTTTGTTGCTTAGTTTTCGTGAGGGTTGCTAACTTGCTATGTATGACCGGCTTCGTCGTCAGGGTTTCGGTCTTTTTAGTATTTGAGTAATGAGTATCATACTGAATAATTTGAGTAATGAGTATCATACTGAATAGGGAATGACTTATGTAATGGGTATATAATTCCCCCTTGTTCTTTGTGTATTGTTGATATCAGATATCCAGGAACAGGAGAATATGTCAACTTCGACAAAGAAGGAATTTACGGTTGTGGAGGATGTAATGCTCCTCTTTATAAATCCACCACAAAGTTCAACGCTGGTTGTGGCTGGCCAGCTTTCTTTGAAGGAATCCCCGGTGCCATTACCCGCACGGTATAAAAACTCTCAGAAGTCAGAACACACACTTTTTTCATCAAATTGACAACAAAAAAAAAGAACTCTCTCTCTTTTTGTGATTTTTTGCTTACATTCTTGATTTACATTGGTTTATCAGACAGACCCAGATGGGAGAAGAACAGAGATCAACTGTGCAACATGTGGTGGACATCTTGGTCATGTTTTCAAAGGCGAAGGTTTCGCTACTCCAACTGATGAACGCCATTGCGTGAACAGCGTTTCACTTAAGTTCACACCCGCAACGTCTTCCTTGTAAATCTTGTCACAACAAGATTATTGTTCTCTCTCTGGATTTTTTCACTCAAGTGAGTGAGAGAAAAAAGAATCTTGTAGGTGTGTGTGTGTGTCTATACTGTTTTTTCTTTCTATAATTTATTTTGATTCATCACCTCAAGCGTTTGGACAACAACTCTAGTATGTGTTATTATTTGTAACTGAATAAAACGTACTCTTGTAATACAAAAGCTGCTATGTTACGCATCTCTAATACTCTATTGACACGTGCATGATACACCAGTCTATAGATACAAACAGTTGATATGAATGTAGACACAAAACTAGGAACCATACATCAGTGAAATTAATATGTACAAATAGATCATTGTAACGTTTCAAGAACCTACCTAACTGATCATCATCAGACGCTTGCCTCTGTTGATATTTCAGCTTCTGGTTACTTTCCTCAGTAGTAGCTTGTCCGTGGTGGTCATGGCGGATCCTGTGTCGGAGTGGCGTGCAGTTCTTTCTCCTGAGCAGTTTCGGATTCTCCGTCAAAAAGGCACTGAGTAAGTGGCTTTGTTTTCCTTAGAACAAGCTAATTAGGCTTCAAGTAATCATAGACTGAATCTTGAAGAAATAAAACAAATTTAGGGAAAAATTAAATCTAGATGCACATCAAACAAGTGTAGTAGCTTCTTCTTGCTTTTGGTCTTTGTTTTGATTGTTTCAAACGCGATTTCTGCAAAGTATTTGATTACTTTGTTAAATTATATTTCAGAACTCCAGGAACTGGAGTATATGACAAGTTCTTCGAGGAAGGAATCTTCAGCTGTGTCGGATGCAAAACTCCTCTTTATAAATCCACCACAAAGTTTGACGCCGGATGTGGCTGGCCAGCTTTCTTTGAAGGACTCCCCGGTGCCATTAACCGAACCGTAAAGACTCTCTTTTGTATGTTTTGGTTTATTTTCATGACTACTGGTAACTAAACAAACTTTGATTCTATAATTACTAGCCTGATCCAGATGGGAGAAGAACTGAGATCACTTGTGCTGTGTGCGATGGACATTTAGGCCATGTTCATAAAGGAGAAGGTTATGCTACTCCAACCGATGAACGCCATTGCGTTAACAGCGTTTCGATCAATTTTAACCCGGCCAAACCTTCCTCTGTAACCTGAGGACTGGTTGATCGTACTACAATATCTTCAAAATAAGATCTTCTTGTTTAACTCTTTGTCTTTCGTAGAATCATCATCATCATCATGTAAGGATCAATGCATCAGATAATAAGAAATTAAGAATCAATTTGATGTTGAATAATTTATCTTAGTATCTATAATTTGATGTTGGTTTTGTTTAAAGAATGTATCTATATCTTTGATATGACGACATTCTATAATTTTTTAAATTAGATTTTATTCAAATCTTAAATGGGTTTTGGCTATCGAACCAAGCCGGATACACGGTTAAAAAAAAAAAATTCCCAAATCGGAACCCAACAGAAAAGAGATTTGAAAACAAATAATTATTATTGCGTAAAGAAACCAAATAATATCAAACTAATGGAATAGATCCCTTTCAATTATTATTGCGTAATACATTTTGAATATATCTTTTCTCGAAAAGTGGAAGCACGACTCTGTTACTCTGTTGCGCAAGCCATACTCTTTTTGGCATTCTTCTTTTATGATAATAAGAAGATAAGAATTCGTGTCCTCTTTTATTTTCTCTTTTTTTTTGTTCAAAAGAATTCGTGTGATGTCTAGTCACAAATCCAGAAAGAAGATTAGGTTTCTGATTAAAAAAAACACTTGTAATTTTAAGAAATAATATCTGATCTCTCCCCATTAACAGTTTTTGTCCCATTCCCTTTGTACTAAACCATATTTCAATTGGGATTTATTTCTATAATATGAAACCGAATTTTGGAAACTGAACCGGGACAGGATTAGGGGACAAATGAGCACATGTATTATCACGTGCATGATTCAATAACTTAAATCATTCACCAACTTTATAGATCATAGTGTTTCCACATGAATCTAGACGCAAAACTAGAATCATTCATCACTGAAATTTAAGTACAAATATAAATCACTGCAAGAACCTACCAGATCATCATCATCATCAGACCATTTCCTCCGTCGTAGCTTCTTCGTGGTGATCATGGCGCCGGCTTCTGCGTTGGTGGTCCAAAAAACAGAGGAGGAGTGGCGTGCGGTTCTTTCTCCTGAGCAGTTTCGGATTCTTCGTCAAAAAGGCACTGAGTAAGTTTTCTTGATTAGGCATTAGACTTAAGAAATTATGGGTTGTTTTTGGGTTTCATAATTTGCATCATATATGTGATCTCTGAAATTATGACATGTTACTTCTTTTGAGATTACTTGGTAATGGTGTATAATAAAGAAATTGTGGGAATAATAGATTGGATTGAGTCTTTTGACGACCCAAGAATGTCTACGTGGCTTGGCTTTAAAACGATGTTGACTCGTTAATAGATTCAATATGTTAATTAGGCAGCAAGCAACCGTAGAAAGATTATTGGAGATGTAGATCGAACAAATTAGAGGAATTGGACATCAAAGAAATTGCTTCTTGATTTGGTATCCCATGATGTTTTTTTTTTTTTTGGAATTTGTTTTTCTTTGTATCCTATATATAGAGTATTGGTAGTTTGTTGAATTAAAGATTACGTTAACCATCTCAATGTTTTTAAGGTTTGCGTTTTTCTTGTCACAATCGATATTTCAGAAAACCGGGAACTGGAGAATATGACAAGTTTTTCGAGGAAGGAATCTTCTCTTGCGTCGGATGCAAGACTCCTCTCTATAAATCAGTAACAAAGTTCGATTCCGGATGTGGCTGGCCAGCTTTCTTTGAAGGACTTCCCGGTGCCATTAACCGAACCGTAATGATTCTCTTTTGAATGTTTTTGGTTAAATTTTCATGAATCTTGGTAACTAAAATCTCATCTTTAATGCTTTCTTGATTTGATTCTACAATATTTTCCAGCCTGATCCAGATGGGAGAAGAACTGAGATCACTTGTGCAGCGTGCGATGGACATTTAGGCCATGTTTTCAAAGGAGAAGGTTACGGTACTCCAACCGATGAACGCCATTGCGTTAACAGCGTTTCGATCAGTTTCAACCCTGCAAAACCTTCCTCTGTTATCTGAGGATTGATTGATCGATCATACAACATCTTCTAATTACTCAGATTGTGTTGTTATTGTCATCATGTAGTGAATACGCACTTTCTGTGGTGGTCAATGCAACAGATAATAAGACTCATTAGATATTGGATACAGTATGTTATAGACATTTAATAAGAATTTTATTATCTAAGGGGTCATTATTCTCGATCGGTTCGAATTAAACTCTACCTATCTTTTACATACCTACTAATGGATATTTTCATTTGGGATATCGACCAATCGAAACCACAATTTTCTAGCTGAGATGCATGGGAACTCAAATTTGGTAGGTATGGAAAAATATGTACACGAACACATCTAGCTAGAGAGTGTAGTAGTGTAATGAATTTCTAATAAATATATGAGTTGTTGAGAAAACAATATTTCAACTACTGTGATAATGAGACGTAGATATACATACATATGGTCCCATGCATGATACAAACGTGTTCGTTGTCTCCTCCATATGACCAATGACCACATACGTTTCAATACGTGTTTTATCTCAATGCCTCACAAACTCCATTTGTATTGTCCCGCACAACTTAATGTTATGTACAAGTTGAAATGTTATTATATATGTAGTAAAATGTGAAAAACACATTAATCAATTCAATAGTAGTTAAACAATATATAGTCTCTCGTTGTCATCAGTCATTACTCATCACTCGGCACCAAACTGCGGAAGCCAAGCCAGCTGTGATTGGTAAGTAATTAAATCTCTATTCACATGCAACACTAATGCATGTGTCAGTAATTTGGTCAATGACAATACACATGTGTGATCTAGACGTTCTTGATTCTTCAAAGGTTTACAGCACAACCATATATATTACTAGAAAGAAAGAAAGAAAATTTGTTACCTAAAATAATCAGATCAAATCTGAATTTAAAAGTTCAGTATAACTTTATGTTAACATTTAGTTAAGAGAATGTGGTTTGTACATATAGATAGAGTTCCTCTTTAAATATTTTAAAATAATTTAACACGGTTTTCGATTTACGATTTGGGAATTTTTTTTTTTTTTTTTATTTGATGATGCTCCGTTTATCCATAAACATTTGTAAAGCTTTACTGTCTAGACGAGACGTGACCGTTTTAAGTCCATTTTGAATTCGTTTTTAACATTTATCTAGGTGAACTAAATCAATTTCGATAAAGTTTTGATAAAGTTTTAAAAATGAAACATTTTATACAAATTGTATTGGAAAAGAGGCATTTTTTGAAAATCCCCAATTATAAGCAAATGTGAGCATCTCCTTAGGCCTGAAACGATGCATTTACTCTTTCCATTTTATAACAAATATCATTTTAAAGTTTTATTGTTGTTTTACAATAAAATCTTGTTTTTTATTCGATCTCAATGTAATATTAATATATTATAAACTATACGTATAATTCTTTCTCTATTAATTCAATTAATAATTATAATATCAATATAGTCTTGTTTGGAAAATGATATTCCATTAATAATGAGTACATTAGAAATTTTAATGTTTATCTAATTTTTATGAAAAATTTCTGAAACGATAAAGAACAAAACAGTAATGGTTTTGAGCTACAAAATACTTATATTGTGATATTCGACTACCAAATCTCTAAAGTCTCTCTGAGCTACCACATGGATATATATTATTCCAAGTGGAACATCTTTTTTTTTTTTTTTCCGTCTGAAGATTTCATTGATATAATGCGGTAGAGTTATACATAGCCGACAAGAATCGAAATCCTTTCGGAAACTAGGCCGGCGGGTACATAGAAACCCCCAGAGACTAAGGCCGAAAAATGCAAGCTAAGGCCGAAAAAGGCGAGCTAAGGCCGAAAAGGGCGAGCTAACAGAAAACCTTAGGCAATAGATTACATGGAAAACAACTAAGGGGAAAAAAGCTAAAGACTCCAAAGCAAACAAACTGCAAACTCTTCCCAACAAGCAGTCGACTAACACTTCCATAGAACATTTTGGCGCTGAAGAGAGGTTACTGACAGGAGCCTCGGAACCGAGAGGGAAATAAAACCTAGCTCACACAACCATCTCCACAGTAGAAACGAAGACGACGAACAAGAAGATCAAAGCACAGAACCTAACCACAACGACCACTTTAGTGCCAATGAAAACGAGAAGGCGGAGGCTCAAGGAGAAACCTTGAAATCTGAGAGGGGAAACGCCAAATAGGACCACCCATCCTTACACACGGACCTTCGTAGACCCAGCCAAAGCCACCTACAGACTAATGACTGGTTACGCCACGCAAAGAGAAGGATAAGAGATCGACCCACCACAACGTCCAAAACTCAACCAGGAAACCAAACGAGCTTCCAAGAGAGAGCTAGTAGATGCCATTATAGGAGGCTAGCATCCGAATGAAGAGCCCACAAAACAGAACCTATCGCCAAATCACCACACAGCAAATCAAGACGGAAAACAGAAGAGAGGCCGAGCAAGGAGTCAAAACAAGCCTTCCCAAAAGCAGAACCTAAGGCTTTCAACCACAACAAGTAGAGAAACACACAACACAAACCATAGAAGTCACTCACCACCTATAGAGGAATAACCCGAAACGATGAAGCCGATGTCACAAAACCAAAGGGATCTTCGTAGCCATGTCGTGGAAACGAAAAGCTGACTAAATACAAGCCTCCAACGAGACAGCACCACCGCAAAGCCAACAAATTCCAAGAACAAAACTCACAAGACACCACCTCGAAAGCAACCGGAGCATACAACAAGACACCAGCGACTCCCAATCCAACGAGAACAGAGCCAAAGGACCAGATTGTCGAGACATTAGAACTAGATCGGGAACCAAAAAACCTCCAAGATCAGATCAGACAAGAAGGAACCACCGGGGAACAGATCCTTCAATGAACCTCACCGATCCGCCACCAAATCTCTGAGATAGTCACCACGCTGGTAGGAACCACCATCGCCGAGAGAAAAGGAAGAAGGAAGGAGACGACGAAGCTACGGTTTGTCAAATCAAAAAAGACAAACAAGAACCAACAAAGAAAGGAAGCAGATGGGACCGACGATGGTGCTGTGGAAGCCACCCATCGCCGGCCATCGGAGAGGAGTTTTGCTTGGCGGCTAGGGCGAATTAGGAGAGAGGAGAGAGCCAATCGCCTATGTTTATATAGAGTACTGAGTGGAACATCTTATAAGTTAGGACTTAGGACTATACCTCTCTTCTTCAAATATATAGTATTAAAGAAACTTTTGCCAATTGATATCTACATTAAGATTTTGAAAGATTGTGCATAATTATATACAGTAAAACCTCTATAAATTAATAATGTTGGGACCATGATATTTTATTAATTTATAGTGATATTAATTTATCTATAAATTAATAATTATTAATTTATAGCGTAAATTAATATTCATTAATTTATAGAAAGTTTTGTTTTAATTGTGAAATTTTTTTTTAAAAAAATACGAGTTAAAGCAATGTGATATAAATAAGATTAATGTTTTGGATGTTATGAATTTTATAGTTTTAGCCTTAAACACTTAATATTTCGAAGAAAAATAATTTTTTTTGAAAATGAATAACAACGATTATAGAATTCACATATTAAAATTCACAAATAGTGACATCCATTGTTGTATTCTAAAAACATATATGACTATTAAAACAAAAATTATGCATATTAAAAAATTTGAAAACTTACAAAAACTTTTAGCTATTTTATGAAAAACACTAAAACTATTATATATATATATATGTGCAAATTTACATTATTACTAATTTATGATATTATTGGGACTATATTTTTACATAGGGATTTAAAAAAACTTATTATCTTATTATCTTATCGAATTTGGTTAATTTTTACATTGGCTCGACTCGGGACCGGCCAAATTTATTAATTTATCGTGTTTATTAATTTATCAAGTATTAATTTATAGAGGTTCTACTGTATCTACAGTAATATATTAAATGGTACAATATAATTGATGTGTAATGCATGGACTGATCCTTTCCTAAATTTGCACAAAAATTTGAAGGATGTGTAATCAATTGTACAGAATGCACGGAACAATGTTATTATTACTAGTTCTAAGATTATTCATATCTACCAAGATTTATATTTTTACTAATAAATAAATCGATTTTTATCAGTCAATTGCTTGTTATAAAAGTTAAAACAAGTTAGTGGAAACCCCAAAAAAAACCAATGTTGACTATGAATGTCCGAACTTTTAAAATGGAATCTTTCGCCATATGATTCATGATGTAGAGACAAAAAATAAGACATAATTTTTAATCTTTTAACCAAAAGGAAAACAGAAATATTTGATAACAAGTTTTCAATTTTCAACGTGTGGTGTCTCTATTAGACCCAAAAAAAGAAATAATCCAAACGTGCAAAAAATGTCAACTTTTTGCTAAAGAAAGAAAAAAAAAAAGTGAAAGCTGGTCATGAGTTGGATCTGCGCCTATAAATATACACACATTTCTCGATCCATACCAACATTACTCTCCAACCTCAAAATTAACCCTTCGTAAGTTTCTCTCTGTCTTAATAATGTTTTTTTGTCTAAAATATAAATTAATTGTAATCTATAGAAAGGCTATAAGAAGAAAAGCAGTTGTGAGTTTTCACTGCTTAATAATTAATGAACTAAAACACTCTAATATTTTTGCCGTCGTGTCTCAGCCGTAGCAACAAACCGGAGAAATGGAAATGACGGCGGCTCCGGAAGGCGGTTTAATCAAAAAGTCCAACGAGGAGTGGCGTGCGGTTCTATCTCCTGATCAGTTTAAGATTCTTAGGGAGAAAGCTATTGAGTAAATTAGATCCAAACTTTTTTCTTCTTCCTATTATTAACTTTTAAATTCTTTTTAGGTCTTTTGTTTTCTTAAGCCTCACGTTTTAGGTCTGAAGAAGTCTTTTTTTTTTTTTTTTTCTTACTGATGATTGTTTGTAGGAAGAGAGGGTCAGGAGAGTATGTGAAGTTGTTCGAGGACGGAATCTACTGTTGTGTTGGTTGTGGCAATCCGGTTTATAAATCAACCACTAAATTCGATTCCGGTTGCGGTTGGCCTGCGTTTTTCGATGCTATTCCCGGCGCCATTAACCGAACCGTAAACCTAATATTCTCTTTTTTCTCCTTTTTTTTTTTTGAGGATTGAATTTTTATTATAACTTGGGAAGATCTTCTACCGAAGCCTAAACCAATCTCTAAAAAAAAAAAAAACTAGGCATTCTTGCCATTTAAAACGTTTACAATAGCGAAATGGGAAAAGACTGATTTTATAATCATTTTACGCATATTTAAAACACACAAAATAATAAAGAAATGTGGAGTTAGGTCGAGAAAATGTAATCAAATTCTAACAAGTACTCGTCTAACCAGGGCATCTAACCAAGCTTATAATTTGTATAATTCGTATGGGGCTGCATGTTTGAGACAGACGAATGACCATATGTTTTTAGTCTATAAAAAGTTCGAACAGACCAAAAAATAAGACATAATAGCTAAATCGTGAGTTAGAGTCTAGTAATATTATCATGTTTTGTTTAACAGTGAAAATAAAAATTTGCATGTTGTGAAAGTACCATATCTTTTGATTTTAAAGATTATATATATATCACAAAAATGACATGCATTTTAAGTATATATTAAGATAACAAATATTGTTTTTTAGACACATGCAAGATTTGAGTTGACTGAATGATAACACAACGACATCACTACACTAAATAACTACTTTACAAAATCATAGCTAAATGACATATACTTTTTAAACAATATTTTTCAGGAGGAGAGAGCTGGATTAAGATATGAGATCACTTGCACAAAATGTGATGGACATCTTGGTCATGTCTTTAAAAATGAAGGTTTTCCAACACCAACGGACGAACGCCATTGCATCAACAGCGTTGCACTCAAGTTCTCTTCCGCGATTCCGTCTCAGTGATAAACCGATCCGGTTTTGTTCTCCAGAATCAACTCTATCTATGAACGTTGATTCCTAAGAGAACTTTCTATGTACTTCTGTTCTAATGAGAATGTTTGTGTGTTTTCATTATGAAAAAGTAATGCTTTATGTATCATTTAAATTGTTTGTAAAAAAGAAAAATTGTTTGTGTGATATATTGTGCTATATTTTCTGTTGAGTATTATCGTATTTAACAAAAATCTATATATTTATTGTCGCTTGCTGAAAGGTTCCTCAAGTGCAAAGTGGGAAATAATGGTCGCAATTGTAGTTTCTGGTTTGATTCATGGACTCCTCTTGGTCCCCTAATCAAGTTTCTGGGAGCAGAGGGTCCTAGAGTCTTGCGCCTGCCTTTTAGCTCCAAAGTGAACGATGCAGTTTCTGACTTACGTTGGTCCTTTCCATCTCCGAGATCAGATCCTGCGGTCTTGTTTCACGCCTTCCTTACAACTGCTCAGGTTCCCAATATTTCTTTTGAGGATGACCAATACTGTTGGGTTGTAGATAACTTCTGTTGTCAAGGTTTCTCGGCGTCGAAGACTTGGGAAGTGCTCAGGCCTAGAAGGGAAGTGAAAGACTGGGCCACTTCCATTTGGTTCAAAGGAGCAATCCCGAAGCACGCTTTCAACATGTGGATTGCTCACCTCAACAGACTCCCGACAAGACAAAGGCTTGCGACCTGGGGACTTAACATCTCAACGGATTGCTGCCTCTGCTCCGCATTCACTGAATCCCGGCCGAGACCATCTGCTCATCACGTGCAATTACTCTGCTGCGATTTGGAGTTTAGTCCTCTCGAGACTCGACCCGAGACGTTTTCATTTCCTCTCCTGGGACGACTTCTCTCTTTGTTGTTTTACTTGGCTTTATCACTTAGAAAGAGTTTCTTCATAACTCTGTTCTGTTCTAGAATTTGTGTTTGCTTTGAAAGATATTTGAGAGCATCGGAGAAAGACACTTAGAGTAAACTCATTTCATTACCACACACATTTTCACAACAATACAAGCTCATACTTATAGAAAAACGACAACAGCTACTCTAGTAACAACTACACAACAACTCTTACTTGACTTTAAGACATAAGTTTAGTTTACAAGCAACTTCAAGTACCCAAAACACTGTTACAACAACTCCACTTACTTTTCTTAGTTTGGTTTGAGAACCAAAATGACATTATTCAACACTCCCACTTGCCATTTTGTCACTCAAACCAAGCTCTTCTCGAAGTCTTTCAAAGATTGGACCTCCCAATGCCTTGGTGAAGATATCAGCGATTTGATCTTCACCCTTGCAGTACCTTAGCTGAATATCTCCATTTCTTTCTGATTCTCGAACAAAATGATACTTGATTTGAATGTGCTTTGTCCTTCTATGTTGCACTGGATTCTTACCAATGGCAATAGCAGATTGATTATCGCAGTAAATAGGCACACCTTCTTCTGTATTGATGTTTAACTCCTTTAACAAGCGCCACAACCAGATCGCTTGATTTGTGGCTGCAGACAGAGCCATGTACTCAGCTTCTGCGGTGGATTGAGCGATGGTATCTTGTTTGCTGGTCTGCCATGAGAACATTGTCGACCCAATGCAGAAACAATATCCTGATGTAGACTTTAAATCTTCGTTGCATCCACCCCAATCACTATCAGAGTACCCAATCAATCTTAAATCACTTGTAGTAGTAAATCTCAATCCTACTCCAGTAGTTCCTTTTATGTATCTAAGCACTCTTTTTGCTTCTTTCAAGTGTTTAGAGGTTGGCTCCTTGAGATACCGAGACAGATAAGATGCAGAGAACATCAAATCTGGCCGAGTAGCAGTCAAGTACAGCAAACCTCCCACTAAACTTCTGTAGAGAGTTGGATCCACATAACTTACTTCTTCTTCATGCTCTTTTCTTTTAGGAAGCAGAGGAGTAGACACAGCATTGCAGTCCTCCATGTTGAATTTCTTTAAAAGCTTCTTAGCATAACATTCTTGAGACAAGAAGATTCCCTCTTCACTTTGCTCAATCTCCATACCTAGAAAGTAGTTTAGTAAACCAAGATCAGACATTTCAAACTCTGTTTTCATTGTCGTTTTGAACTCTTCCACCATGGCCTCGTCATCACCAGTGACAATGAGATCATCAACATATATGCATACCACCAGTAGCTTTCCATTTGTTTTCTTTGTGTATAGAGCATGATCATTGTCACTTCTTTTGAAGTTTTCTCTATGAAAGAATTCATCAATTCTGCTATACCAAGCTCTTGGTGCTTGTTTTAAACCGTAGAGAGCTTTATGTAAGTAGAGAACATAATCTTCTTTTCCTTTTTCTTCAAAACCAGGAGGCTGTTCTGCATAAATTTCTTCTTCTAGATCACCATTCAAGAACGCCGATTTGACATCAAGTTGAAATAGCTTCCATTTTCTTTGAGCAGCCACAGCAAGTAATACTCTGATAGTTTCATGTCTTGAAACGGGTGCAAATGTTTCAAGATAATCAACACCATATTGTTGTGTAAATCCACGAGCGACTAGTCTAGCCTTATGCCTTACTACATTACCTTTAGCATCAGTTTTCAGCCTGTAGATTCATTTGACTCCGACAACATTCTTGCCTGGTGGTCTTTGAACTAGCTCCCACGTTTTGTTTTTCTCTATCATTAGTATTTCTTCCTCCATCGCATCTCTCCATTCAATATGCTTTGAAGCTTCCTCAAATAACGCTGGTTCTTCAGAAGCAGTAAAGCATCCTTCACATACTGCAGAGTACTCAATGTCTGCGTATGGAGCTGTAAGAAGTATGTCTTCGAGTAATTTGGTTTTTCTGTTTGGTGGACTTGACTCTTCTCTTGACGTATCCAAGCTTCGGTTAGGAGTTCTTCTCTCTCTTGATTCATCATCACTTGATCCAGATTCATCTCTACTAGGACCTTCTTCTTCACTAATTTCTACTAATGTTGACAAGTCACTTTTCTTTATCACTTCTTTGTTGTTCCAGTCCCATTTACTTTCTTCTTCAAAAATAACATCTCTGGAGATGTCAATCTTGTCTTCTCCCAGAATATAGACCCTGTAACCTTTGGTTTGGGAACTGTACCCAACAAAGATTCCCCTTTTTGACTTGTCATCCCATTTTCTTCTCTTTTCATCTGGTATGTGTACATAACATACAGAACCAAATACCTTTAGATGACTTACAGATGGTTTTGCTCCACTCCAAGCTTCAAGTGGTGTCATGCTTTCAAGCGCCCTTGTAGTGGTTCTGTTTTGAGTATATGCAGCAGTGTGCACAGCTTCAGCCCAAAAATTCAGAGGCATATATATCCTTAGCTTTGATCATGGCTCTTGCCATCTCAACCAAGCTTCTGTTTCTCCTTTCTGAGACACCATTCTGTTGTGGAGAGTAGGTTGCAGTCAATTGTCTTTCAATGCCTGTTTCTTCGAGAAACCTTGTAAATTCTCCTGAGAGATACTCAGTTCCTCTATCTGTCCTTAGCTTCTTGATTCTGCAACCAGATTGATTCTCGACAAGATGCTTGAATCTCTTGAAAGTGTTGAATACTTCAGACTTTGCTTTTAGAAAATAAACCCAGACCATTCGTGTTGCATCATCGATAAATGTGAATAAGTATTTACTCCCACTTAAGGATACGTTTTGCATAGGACCACACACATCACTGTGAATCAGTTCAAGCTTTTCTTTTGCTCTAGATTCTGATTCTTTTGGAAAAGGATCACGGCTGTGCTTGCTTAGAATGCAACTCTCACACTTTTCTTTATCTACCTTGAATTTTGGTAAGCCAACTAACATCTCTTTTGACTGCATCATCTTCATGTTTGAATACCCAGTGTGTCCAAGCCGTTTATGCCACAGTTCTGCATCACCACTCTTGGCCACCATTGCACTTTCCTTTTTAGAGGGCCACTTTATATGGAAGCTCTTATTCACCATCTGAACTTCACCAATTTTTCTCCCGAGTCTGTCATGTATGATGCAGCTTCTCTTTTTGAACTTGACTTGATATCCGTTGTTGATCATCTGAGGGACACTTAGTAGATTCTTACCAAGATTTGGTACAAGAAAAACATCTTTTATAATTTTGACTCCTTTCTTGGTCATAACTTCAATATCTCCTTTTCCTTTTGACATCATGACGGCACCGTTTCCAACACGTATGGGAACATTGATGCTAGTGTTGATGCAGACAAACTTCTTCTCATTTGGCGTCATGTGGTTTGTACATCCACTGTCTATGAGCCATACATCCTCTTCTTTTTCTTCTTTATCTTCTTGTCTAACACTGAACATGTGATTTTCTTCATCATCATGTTTATGTAAGACTCTTCCTTTGGAACTTATCTTCTCTGTTCCTCTTTTTTCTCTTGCAGGATCTTCTTGATCCGCCATTCTCTTCTCTTTTGCAGGACCCTCTTGATCTGCCATTCTCTTCTTGACTGTTGAAGCTCCAGGACTGAAACGGAGCTCTGATACCATGTTGTTTTACTTGGCTTTATCACTTAGAAAGAGTTTCTTCATAACTCTGTTCTGTTCTAGAATTTGTGTTTGCTTTGAAAGATATTTGAGAGCATCGGAGAAAGACACTTAGAGTAAACTCATTTCATTACCACACACATTTTCACAACAATACAAGCTCATACTTATAGAAAAACGACAACAGCTACTCTAGTAACAACTACACAACAACTCTTACTTGACTTTAAGACATAAGTTTAGTTTACAAGCAACTTCAAGTACCCAAAACACTGTTACAACAACTCCACTTACTTTTCTTAGTTTGGTTTGAGAACCAAAATGACATTATTCAACACTCTTGGACTAGAACTCAATCACCTGCTGCTCCATCCTTGATTCGTCAGCTCGCAGCTCAAGCCACGGTGTTTCACATTTGGAAGCAGCGAAACAATGTTCTTCATAACAACCACAAGGTGCCGCCTAATATCACTTTCATCAAGCTGATCGATAAAGAGATCCGTAACTCAATCTCGGCGAGAAGACAAAGAAAGCATTTTGGAAACTTAATGTAACTTTGGATTAGATGATTCCATGGATGTATTTTCATATCTTTGTTGCCTTGTTTTTTTATTTTTTTTTGGCAAGGTCTCAAAAGTCATAGGTTCTATGTTCCTAAACTTTTCATTTCTAATGATATTTACAGT